GGACAGATATCTGACACCCAGAATTAGGGAAGGAAAGGTTTATTTACTTCACAGTTACTGGAGGCTGGCTCCAAGGCAGAGTGACACATGGCAGAGAGCAACCTTTGGTGGTGGCAGCAAAGAGCAAGAGAGCAAAGGGAGTGGCACCAAAAATGGTAATGGAGAGGAAGTCTGTCTTTCTTATGTTATATTCAGACTATCTGCCCAGGATGGGTGTAGCACACCCATAATCCCAGCAAGTACTCAGACCCATAATCCAGCCTTGAATCATGAATTAATCACAAACTGTAGAACTGCACCTCAATGACTGCATGAGGCTTTTGTGGGGGAGGGAGGCAAATACACACAAACCATAACATTAACTGTTAGAATTCATAGGACTAGGGCCAGCCAAATAGCTCAGCGGATTAAAGCACCTGCTAAGGCAGATACAGGGCCTGGGGTTCCATCCCTGGGCCTGCTATGCTGGCCCCACCCATGGGGTGTGCTGAGAGGCTGTAAACGGGCCAATCACTGCGAGTTAGATCTGGTAGTGAGACCCTGTAGACACCCTAATTTTTTTTTTTGTGGAACTAGGGATTGAACTCAGGCCCTTGTGCTTGCCAGGGAAGTGCTTATTCCACTGAGCCATCTCCTTGGCCCCTGACACCATATATAGATAGATAGACAGATGAGAGAGAGAGAGAGAGAGAGAGAGAGAGAGAGAGAGAGAGAGAGAATTCACAGGATTATCTACTATATGCATTTAGTGAAAATTCTGACTCAATTTAGATAGCAGGTGCTAGCGGTATGGCTTAGCCCAGTGGCAGCGCACCTGCCTGTGAGTAACCCTGGGTTCCCAAGCTTGTTGCCCTCTGGGGTCTGTCCCAGTGCAGGCGGGCTTCGCAGAGTGCATGCTCCCCAACCTGCCCAGGTCCGGAATCGAGCCCACATGGGCACTGCCAACCTGGCACAGGCTTTTCTTCTATGCTGTCTTCTATGCTGCACAAAAGGCTTAGCTCAGCGGCCTAGGCATCCCTTTCAGGATTATGTAGACAGATCTGGACATGAGTGTCCTGACCAGCCAGGGCTCGACGGGTGATGCTCACGGCCAAATCCCGATGAGAAGTCTTGCTCTCTGCAGCTAGGCACTGGTCCAGTCGCTCGGCTGCTGGCTCTGTGGGCGCAGTGAGTGTGTACAGCTCTCCACAATCCTGTTCCATTGAGATCAGGGTCCTCATTTCTCCTGAGGTGCTTAACTTTTTTCTTTTACTGCGTTTTTTGAGATGGGGCCTTGCAATGCAAGTTCCAAACCGGCCTCAAACTTGAGGTGATTTTCCTTTCTCAGCCTCCCGAGTGCTTGGATTACAGGTGTGCGCCACCACACCCAGCTGATTCTTATGTGGTCTCATCACTGCCCTCATTCTTGTCACAAGACCGTCTATTCTGTGTCAAGGAGTCCAACATGATCTGGAGACCACCCACTCCTCTGGCAGGCAGACCCTGGTATCTGCCCACGAGAGCGCCACAGGCCCAGCGTTTCACTACCCAATCTCCAGCTTCACCCCACCCCTCCACTGCAGTGCCTGCGTTGACCTCCTCACAGCCAGATCCCAGTGAGGACACAGCCCCTCTGCACCTACAAATTTGTCTGCCCCAGAGCACGCTGTATGTACAGAAGGAGGGGGTGGCTCTTGGCCTGTGTGTTGACTTTTTTTTTTAATGTCTTTTATTTTATTTATTTTTGTGTCCAACTCAGTCCATCCGGGGAGCAAGGCTGGTGCAGCATGTGGTGCCGGGGATCGAACCGCAGTCCCTAGGCTTGCCTAAGCTTGTCTAAGCAGGCACTTTAGACTGCTGAACTATCCTGCTGACCCCATGTGCTGACTTTTTAATAGTGCTGACATTTTCACACATCTAAAGAAAGTACATCCTTATTTCCCTGGTATGGACTTAGGTAAAATGCTGAGCTAAAGGGTTAGCAAAATGCTCTGAAGCCCCTGGGAAGGAACAATCTTTCTTAGGTGTGTGTGTACACATGCGTGCTTGTGCAGGCTGGCTCTGAATGTGCAACCTTCTTGCTTAGCCTCAAGTAGGTGCAATTATAGGACTACGGTATCATGCCCAGCTGAGAAAGTAACAGCTTCAGCCTTGCCATCTGGGTGGCTGGAGAATGTGGTGGGCCTCTCTGGTCTTTCAGTCGACTCTCTATCCAATAATGCTTCAGCACCACTGGAGAAATAAATGTAGCTTTTTGTTTTTATCAGATGGAAGGGTCGTACTATATTACCCAGGCTGGCCTGGCAGTTCTGGGCCCAAAGAGTCTTCCTGCTTTAGCTGCCTGAGTAGCTAGAACTAAATGCATGTGCCAGAGTACCTGGTCTATTCTTTTTATTTAGTAATGAATAAATAGCCCAATATTCTGGTATTAAGATTACTGATCAGTTTTGTGAAAAACAGACAAGCTGGGGGTGGTAGTGCATGCCTATAATCCCAGCACTCTGAAGGCTGAGGCAGGAAGATCACAAGGTCAAGTCCGGTCTCAAAAATTTTAAAAAAGTAAATACAAGGACTAGGGGTATAACAGTGCAAAGGCCTTGCAGTCAGTCCCCCCAAATAAACCATTCATGGTGTATACAGAATAATGATGCCTTTAAAAACATTCAGAATGTCTCCCAGACTCTGAAATATAAATGTGTTACCTTAACAGGACATGGAGTAATTTGTTAGACTCCAAAACACTGACGGACTATCTTGTGCTTGTTTGTATGGAACTCGGGTCTGATGCTGCCTGCCAGTCCACACTGAGAGTTCTAAGCGGCGGCAATGCAGATCATGTATGGAGAAGCAGGCGGGGCATGTTCTAGAAAGAGAAAACATTCAAGGCCTTCATTCATTCTGTGTCTTTCTCATCTGAGGAATTATATGAGAAGCTGTACCTTTTATAGGCTCTGGAGACATCAATTTCACTTGTCTAACTGCTGAAGAGAAATGCACTGCTTTAGCACAAAAAAGGGTGAAGAACTGGGCATTGGGAGAGCTGGATTGTACCACAGGGTCTGTCAGTAACTAGGCTGTGCAGGTACAGGGTGGGCTCTGGCTCCAAGCATGCCTCTGTGCAGCACGGGAAGAGCATGCAGTTCTCCAGGAGGCCCCTAGATGGTGGTGTTGTTCTGACTGAGCCTCTGGCTTTTTCCTTGTAATTACATGAAGGAAAAAGGCAGAGTTACAATGTGATTTCTCATTAGTTCTGGGGGAAAAAAAAATCACCACCTAAGAATTCATTCAATGGCATTCAAAATAGTATGGAATCATGAATAATATGGTATATATGCATTTGACATTCAAAGGAATAAACTTAATGACCATACCAAAGTGAACAGATCCACTTAACTTTTTAGTCTCATTACCTAGTTCAGGTTGACCTTGTTTTCGTTTCTTTTTTTGGTCTTTCTGAGACAGGGTCTTGCCATGCAGCTCAGGCTGGCCTTGCGCTCACTGTGTAACCCAGGTTGGTCTTGAGCTCACAATGATTCTCCTGCTGCAGGCTCCCGGGTGCTAGGATTAGTTACACATCACCACGCCCAGTCAAACACTGAATTCTTATAGAGCCCAGGCTGGCCTTGTACACATGGCAAGCCTCCTATCTCAGCCTCCCAAGGGCTGGCACCATAAGCTTGTGCCACTATTTGCCGACTCACTTGGTCCAAATATTCATCACTGTCTCCCTTAAGTATACCGTATGCATATAAGTGCAAGAAACTGAGTAAGAACTTTTTCTTTTTTCTTCAGTATCAGGAATCGAACTCAGGACCTTGTGCTTGCCAGGTGAGCACTTATTCCACCAAGCTATCTCCCCAGCCCTCAAGAATTAAACAATGACTGTTAAAAGTATTGATTATAACCCTCAGGAAAAATATTTTTCAACTGTTCTAATAAATTTATAAATATAATGATTTCTCTCATTCTGAATGTTGCAGTCTGATTTCCAGACCTGTGATTTCCCTGAGCACAATGGCAGATATCCTGTATCACCCCTCCAGCATTTAAAGCATACCTTTTAAAGAAATATATATTTAGTGCTTTAATAATATATTAAATGATGTCTCCAGTTTTTTGTTTGTTTTTGTTTTGCAGAACTGGGGATTGAACTCAGGCCCTTGCACTTGCCAAGCAAGTGCTTAGTCTACTTAGCCATCTCCCCAGCCCCTGATGTCTCCAGTTTTAACCTAACAAAAATGATTCAGAGATGCAAAATTTAAGCAGGCTTAGATGAACAACATCAATTTTCGCATAAAATTCCACGAAGGAAACAGAGTATGTTCTTCTTTCTCACCTATGAGCTTCCCTGGACATAAAAGCTATGTTTTTTTTGGGAAACTACCTGCTCGGGCCCCCCCTCCTGTCCTCTCAGACAGGAGCTTTCTTTCTCTCAAATATATTCTGCTCATAACTTCCATTTGTTCCTAAAATTCATTCTTCGGTTTTAGAGAACATGAACTCCTGCAGGTCAGGTGCCGAGATCGTTTTTCCCTATGTCATTTGGAGGCCCCCTACATTGGGTGGAGGTCACCCACCTGAGACCAGTTTTTCTCCCTGTATCAGTTACATGCCTCTATGCATCAATCACGATAAGCCCATTAATATCTAAAATTAATACACATTAATCTTAAAATGTTTCATGATTTCTCATGGTAGCGAGTAGCAGGATTCACAGACAACAGCAACAAAATTCTAGTGTCTTTTGGTATGTGCATGGGTAATGTCGGTGTGTTTCCAAGTGCCAGTTATCACTTTTGCTTCTCCAGTGTCTTACCTTGTCACCTTACGCTTTCCCACAGCTAACGCTGCTAAATTTGTGTTTACGTGCATTAACTGGAAGCACTCTCCCTATATCGTTTCTTACTTTCCTTGTCTGTTCTCTCCCCATCGCTTCTTTCCTTCCCCTCTCTCACCTCTCCCTCAACCTCCCCCTTTCTTTTCTTACTGATAAATGTCCTCATTAGAATCCACGTCTTCCTTGACGACTTTTTCCCCTATTGCCTTGAGGCCTGGCACTAGGATTTTAAGTCATCATAAATTGGTATTTGATTCTCTTCACTCAGAGGACATGTGATAATGGGATTATCTGTTCTATGTCATTTGCAGAATCAAACACTTAAAAAAACAAACAACTATGTTTTTCCTTAAATATGTAGTCTTTCCTCACACTTAATCAATGCACAAATTAGAAAGTACCTATAAAACTCCAGTGACTACATTTGTGCTTTCTACCAGTTGAGTGGGAAACAGCAAGTGAAAAAAATAGCATGACAGAGTGAAACAATATGGTAACTGTGAATTTTATTTCAATACAGATTTTTTGTCAACAAATTAAACAGGAATAATATTGAGTAAATCCAAGAGAGTGTTGCTAAATGTGAAGTCATCCACCCACCCAGTGCAGGACGAAGGACATAAGATACCATTCCCACTCAAAAAAATTCAGTGTAGTTTCAGAAAGGGATTTGGGGAAGTTTGGTTCAGTTTATCATAGTGTCAAGTAGATTTATAACTATTGCACTTATTCAGCTTACAGAAGGTCAACATTTAAGAGGAATTTTTTCTCTAGTAAAGACAGAATTTCAGAATCTCCAATATAAGATGTTACAACTACACAGGCAAAGATATAAAACTCATCCCATTCTATACCTCTGTCCCTTGCTGCTGATGTACAACTTACTACAAATAGGCATTCAGTCTACAGAATGCTTTAATTCATCCATTTCTCATGAAATTACTGTTGAGAGAAATTTGACCAGGATTTACCTTACACCCTTTCACTCAAAACACAGCAAACACAGCTCCTCACTCTGAAACCTAAGGTAACCAAATACCTGGAGATGAGCTTCAGTCAAGGGCACAGGAAACACTGCTTCCTTACAGAACTCCCTGTGGGGTTCAGCTAATGCTAGAATCATGGGCTGCTGAGCTTTTTGGACAATGGGGAAAAATAATAAAAGATAAAAGAGTGGTCCAGCATATGAAACTCTTCTTGAAAATAGAAGAAAGCCATAAACATTGTTGGCAAAGTATTTTACATTTACAATGAAATTTCATTCCATTGATCAGGTGGAAGATTGTCTTCAGCCTTTTGGGCTCGAGCTTATAAACTGTAATTGATTCAGCCAATCACAGAACCACTTTTATCTTAAGCTTGGAACATGTAACAGTGGATGGAAAAGTGGTTTTTTTTGTTTGTTTGTTTTTTTGACAGAACCGGGGATTGAACTCAGGCCCTTGCACTTGCCAGGCAAATGCTTATTCTACTAAGCTATCTCCCTGGCCCCGGTTTTTTGTTTACTCTAATAATTGTGTAGAGATGAGCTGGGAAAAAAAGTACCAGCCTTCAGTCCTCTCAAATTATTTTTCTCTCTGATTATATTGCAAATAAAGGAGCTATGGGGTCTTGGAACTGCCTTTTTTCTTAATAGTTGCTCTGTATTCTAAGACATTATATGCAATTTATAATGTACTACTTATAACAAGACACAACTTTTATGTATTACTGGGGTAATGCAAAGAAAATGAATTTTCCTTTGGGTACCAGTAATTGTCAAAGGAATGATTGCAGATCCAGAAAACGTGCTGTTAACATGAAGGATATGGTGAGCAAAGAGGTAAGGATGGCACATGTGTGGACAGGTTAGTTGTATTAGCAAGGCATTTCAGGGATGGCTGTAGTTCTTCTCACTAAGGAAGAGACATGGAATTTTGACCCTCTCCACCCCTTGGGCAAAAGTGAGCACTAACACGCGTGGTCTGGTGGGCGGGAGCCGACCTCACCACGTGCTCCAGCTGCTCCATCCACTGTCCCTCCCCAAGCAAGGATTTGCCCTGCACTAAGGCTAGTGTGCTCAAGCTGTTAGAATTAATCTGAGTTCAAAAATGAAGCTTAGATTACCAACCAAGTCCTGATAGTTACAACATGTAGAATGTCAAAGTCCTCTTTTTAAACTAAAGTAAAAAAGGAAGAACCATGGTTAATTCACTTGCGCTGTTCAGAACCAACGTCCAAGTGCAACTTCTGCTTGTGAGCCTCCCCGGTGGGCTGCTCTGCCTCGCCGAGCCTGCTAGGTGGTTCTCTTGGCAGATCCCTAGCTCACAGCTTTCCATGTGCACCTTTCTTCTGCGAACAAAAGCTGACCACAAAAATCTACAAGTTTTCTGCTTTCAGAAAATTCTACTGTACCATGTATACCTTACATATTTGTTTAAAAAAATAGTGCAAAAAACATATCTGATAGTCAAAGTTGATAGTTCAAGTGAGTTCTCATGCCAAGGAGCAGTCAAGCTTCACCTTTAGCTGACTTGCAGAAACTGAACGTAGTTTTTGGGAAATATCCCAGATTTCCCCATTAGTTCTCCACTCATCCAGGCATCATCTACAGATTCCAGCTCAGATATTAGATCTCCAGCCTGCAGGAAGACAGGAGTTGGGAATAATTATCGGTTCCTGTTGAGTATAGTAAGCATGCATGGTGGCTAGCCTACCTGGCACAGTAGGAATAACCTTCTCTATAGAACTCATTTATCTTGAGTTGCAGAGAGGATTAAATGACACAGTGGTTTCTTGGTTCACAAACTTAATTTTTTCCATCATTCTGGCTGCAAATCCCATTGGACAAGAACAGAATCATACTTAATGGTAGGTTCAATGTTGACCTTATGGGGAAATTTCATTCAGTTCTCATCCAATTCTGTCTGCAACCAAGGTTGTAGAAAGAATTAAGTTCCTGAACCAAGGTACCACTGTATATCATTAAAAAAATCGAAACTTAGTGATACCATTTGCTTCTTGTCCTCAAATCCCATTCCCACTAGGCACAACTACATTCCCAGCACTGTGGAAGGCTGAGACAGGAGGATCCCAAACTTGAATCCAGCATTGGCAACTTGAAATGAAAATAAAAATTCTGGGTATGAAGCTCATTGTGAAGGCCCTGAGTTCAATCCCCAGTACCAGAAAACAAAGAAACAATTGTCACTGTCAGCCTTGGTACACTTTATTTTCCTACCATTTATACTTTCCAAATTCACAAATAACAGTGTCACACACACACACACACACAGACACACACACACACACACTTTTTCTCTTTCCTCTAACAGATATTTACTGAGCACTCATTCTGTGCCAGACACTGTTCTGGGTACTATGGAAACAGTTAGTAAAGGCCTCGTGACAGAGTGGGAAGCTGGGCTGGCAGAGGGGGCCAGAGTGTGGTGTTGACAACCTATTAGGGCATCAGAAAGGGCACTACCAATGGTGACACTTAAGAAATGACAGCGAGCCATGGATGCCCTTAATGCGTTGTCCTCCTCCACGCATGTCATGTGCAAACAGCACTGCAGGCCTAGGGGTACTGTTACTACCCTCATCTTAGGGATATTTTTTTTTTTTTAAACACTTATTTATTTATTTATTTATTTAGTGTGTGTGTGTGTGTGTGTGTGTGTGGCCAGCTCAGCCCACCAGGGGGCGGGGCTGGCTGGCATGTGGTGCTGGGGGATTGAACCGTGGTCCTTGTGCTCTGCCAAGCTTGTTCCAAGTAGGTGCTTTAGACCACTGAGCCATCTCGCCAGCCCCATCTTAGGGATATTTTCAGAGCTTTTAAGAAAAAGAAACTGACTCTTAATTTCGCCAGGATTCAATTCTTGTGGCAGTCCAGGACTTGTATTCCTATTCCAGGCTACGTGGACCTGTTTACTGTGAGAAGCTCTCATGATATTTGCTTTTTATCACCGTCCTGAGGATTTTGCAGTCCACATTGATTCTCACACATAATGGCATCTTTTCCTCTGACATTTGGCTTGTTCCATGCATCCCTGGTCTCTGTATCATGTTTGTAATTTTCCCTATCTTAAGAGGCTCACCCTCACTCAGAACACTGATCTATCCTCTTTGGGTTCTTTGAAGGACTGTGTTTCATCCTTGTGCAAATTATAATCCTTTAGCAGATGATCCTCCTGCCTCAGCCTCCTGATTAGTTGGGATTACAGAGGTGTGCCACCATGGCCATCTACTGTTTTGTTCTTAATGGTTTTCTTTAATTAATTAATTATTTATTTATTTATTGTGTGTGTGTGGCCAGCTCAGCCCACCAGGGGGTGGGGCTGGCTGGCATGTGGTGCTGGGGGATCGAACCGCAGTCCTTTTGCTTTGCCAAGCTTGTTCCAAGTAGGTGCTTTAGACCACTGAGCCATCTCACCAGCCCTCTTAATGGTTTTCTAATCATTTTTTAAAAAAATCTGGGTTTAAGATTCTACAATGGAAAATAAAATAAAAAAAAAAAAAGAACGAAAGAAAAAGAAAGGATTCTACAATATTCCAAGATGACCCTGGTTACTCTCAAAAATACCTGTATCAGGTTAAATAGACTTTATCTGCATCCCTAGTACATTGCTCACTGGGAAAATGGGTTAGACTTAAGACTCTTCTTTATAGAAGACAGAAAGGAAACATGTTGATTATCATTAATTTACTCTGCTAAGATCTGTAAAATTCTGGCTATTCAAGGTTTTATTACAAATATGTTCCTAAATTATTTTTCATTAATTTTATTGAGAAACAAATAGCAATGAGACAGTTTCAAAACCAATTAATAGGACAGTTTCAATAATTAATACATTACATATTGTTGTCCTTGTCGTGGTTATTCATAGTACAAGATGCAGACATGATATCCTGCCCAAACACTATTAGTACAAATCTTTCTTCTCATTGAATTAAGAGAAAGTAGCTGTATATCTATCCTATTTTGTATATACAGATACAAAATGGTCTTTCATTTGTATCCCCTTTTTTGTTTAGTTTTGTCAGAGATGGGTATTCCATTGCCATTTAAATATTGCAGGTATGTGAATTCAGCAAAATAATCCAATATAGTCCAGTAGTCCATAATAGTAGTGGGTTATCTGTAGGACTGGCAATGTAGAGGTTGTTGATTTAAGCCCTTTACAGCTCAGCATATTAATATGGCTTTACTTTTCATACTTTGTTATTATACTTTTCTGCTGGATGGTTAAGACCAAGATAAAGCAAGACCTATATAACAAGAAATGTAACTTTTGTATCTGACAAGGTCAGTCAAATCTCCTCAGGTTTTAGCCTGAAACCCTGTACCACAGTTTGTAGATCCTTTGTCAGTGTCAGCCATGTGGATGAGTCATGGCCATTGCTTGACCACTTTGCTCTCTGTGAAAGCCTGGGAGAAGGTTTTCTTTCCATATGACTCTTCTTAGGCAGAAGGATTTATTTTATTTTATTTTTTGTGGAACCAGGGATTGAACTCAGGCCCTTGCACTTGCCAGGTAAGTGCTTATTTTACTGAGCTATCTCCCTAGCCCAGTATGTTCCTAAATTATAACACAGTGGATGACTCAAGTTAATTTTCTTAGTTCTGGTCCCTACCCACCTACCAGGTCAGTTTCCAGAGGTTAGAATTATTTTTAAAATGAAGTTCTACCCACTTCTATTCTGTGGATAATGAAATATTAATGACCAATACTACTGAAACCTGGGCAGAGTCCCTTAACAAAAAGACCTTAGAAGCCTGTGTGGTGGTGCATGCCTGTCATTCCCAGTACGCTGAGAGGGTGAGGAAAGAGGATTGGGAATTTGAGCCCAGCCAGGGCAATTTAATGACTTAGGGAGATCCTGTCTCACAATAAAAAAATTTTTAAAAAGGGCTGAGCATGTAGCTTGGTATAAAGATCTTGAGTTCAATTCCCAATGCTGCAAAAACAGAAACAAAATAAAAAAATCTTCCTTCACAGTTACCTTAGAGTCTGCATCTGGGAAATGAAGACAACTAGCTCTCTGGAGGGCACTAAGAATTCTTTATTTATATAACTGAAAGGCCAAAATAACATCCAGAAAGTTTGAATTCAGATTCTTCTCTTGCAATACCGTTTTATGTAAAGGTAAGGAATAAGTTTTTAGCCACTGACTCTCAATACAAACTTTTGGATGTGAAGGATCAAGTTTGTTTTGTTTTTTTTTTAAAGAAAAGGAATACAGAGTTACTGATTTAACTTCGCTCTGTTAACAGTTAGGGTATAAGAAATACCTATCACTTGCTGTTTTGCATGACAGAAATGACATTTACTATAGAAAGGTAAGCATTTTCAGGACAGGACCCACCTCAGCCTGCTCCTGCCTGTAGGAGAGCACATACTACAGAGCTTTTCTTCCCAAGCTGTGTACCAGGGAAACCCTGTGTGGCACTCACTGTTCTATGCCTCCTCTGGCCCACATGCTCCTCTTGGCATGAGCTCCCTGCCCTCTCACTGAGCACTGTCCAACTTCAGTCTCTGCTGAACCACCTGTGCCCCAGCAAGGCCGTGAACCGCCTTAAGAGCTATCCTCTACCTGTGGCCCAACTATGCCGAGCAAGCAAAACCATGGAACTTTTTCAAGAGGCACTTCTTTGTTTTGTTTTTTTTTTAATTTCTGTATTTAGGTCAGGGTCTATAGGGTCTCACTACATAGATAGGACTTGTAGTGATTCTCTTGTTTTTAGCCTCCCAAGTGCTGGGATTACAGCCACGCCATCATGCCTAGTCTCCATTGATGTTTCAGCATGCCCCCATAGGCAGGGCCAGCATGGCACGCTGGGGATTGAACCCCAGCCACTGTGCTCTGCCTTAAGCAGGTGCTTTAGTTCACTGAGTTATTGGGCTGGCCCTAAGAGGCACTTCTTTGGTAAGACTAGGATTCTATGTGAGGCATCTAAAAACAAAAACAAAATCAAAACAAACAAACAAACAAACAAACAACCCAAAAAACACCTTTGCAAAGTAGCTCAGCCACTATTTCTCCAATGGTTCTTCTGGGCAGTGCCCTTTTTTTGGTACCAGGAATCAAACTCACAACCTCATGCTTGCCCGGAAGGTGCCATGTTGCTGAGCTATATCCCTGGCTCTGGTCAGTGCTGTTTTAGACATGTCTCACTCTGCAGCCCAGGCTGGCCTTGAACTCATGTTGATCCTCCTGCCTCAGCCTCCCTAGTCTGGGATAACAGACATGTGGCACCACTCCTGACTAGTCAGGCTACAATGCTCCACTGGGCAAACAGTAGCATCAGGGCAGCGAGGGCCATGTAAGGATCAGGCTTCGTCAGGGTGAGAATGCTAGGAAACCAAAATGCCTATACCTCTGAGATCTGAGCCAAGGAAAAAGGAATTACTTTGAGGACTGTGGGACTGTTAGGCCAAGGATGTCTCTAAGTTCTTAAACGCCTGGCTGATCATGTACTTTATCAGCCAGGTTTGCCTTATTCACTTTTTCTACTGCCTTGCTTTGTAAGTAGGGTCTGTGATCTCTTCATTCTGAGGTAAAAAATTGATATTCCACCCAAATATTCTACCCTTCAGTGAAGACACCTTGAAATCTCTAGTGCTTGATGTGGATATAAAAAGATGCATTTTCTGACCTTGAAGGAGAGCTCATCTTCATTCTCGCCATGGAAATCATACAAGGCTTTGGCCTTTCTCCCCTTCAGAGTTAAGGCAGACATATTTTTCACCTCAGCTACAAAGACACCAAAAATCCAAATATATAGAATGAAATGGGCTGCATCATTGATCAAGTATTTTAAGAAACCCCTTAACACCCTCAGAACATCATTTTAAATTAATGTTGTATTTATTTAACTTGCAAAATAAAGGTTGTTGTCTTAATAGAAAGTAAGATAAAAAATGTTTAGTAGACATAATTAGCCATTTTTTTTCTTTCTTTTTTTTGTTTGTTTTTGTTTTTTGGTGGACCAGGGATTGAACTCAGGCCCTTAGCACTTGCCAGGCAAGCGCTTATTCTACTGAGCCATCTCCCTGGCCCACCATTTTCTTTCCATAATTCTAACAAAGCAGTATGAATAAAGCTTGCCTAACTTAATGAATCGATTCTTTCCAATCAGAAGCACAGACTGTGTTAGGCTGGGAAGAGAAATGTCCACAGCCCTGGAGGTGCCAGGTTCCCCCTCTAGGTCGCAGGTGCGCCCCATGGCCATCCTACCTGGGCAAGGCTGCACAAACACTGCTGGGAAGGTCCCCTCCCTGTCATGCAGTCGACCCCGGTACCAGTCAGTGTCTAGCCGCTCAAGGATCAGGATCCGGTCTCCCCTCCTGAAGGACAAGTCATCACTGGTCTCAGCTGTAAAACTGTGGAGAGCTCTGCACCATTCTCCAGAAAGGCTGTTATCCTGTTACAGAGCCAAAGAATATGAGGTTTCTTTTGAACTGTGCAAAGCTTTAAAAATAGTGAGGAATAAAGGCTAAGGAGTTAGTGACAAGATTTCAAAGCCAGAGGGCTTCTTTAAATTACCTAGTATTTTATGTTGCTATCAAGTTTCAGAAATAAGTTTCCAATAACTTTTCCCTAGAAATATAAGTTTAGATGATAAGTGTGACATAATTTGTGATTTATTTTATTTATTTATTTATTTATTTATTTATTTATTTATTTATTTATTTGGCAGAATTGGGGATTAACCTCAGGCCCTTGTGCTTGCCAGGGAAGTGCTTATTTCACTGAGCCATCTCCCCGACCCCCATAATTTGTGATTTTACTGTTTTAAAGGGATATACAATGCTTACCCAAAACCTTTTTATTATATTCTATAATGTGAATTAAAATTATTTAAAAGCATCAAATACTTAAACACAGTTTATAACAATGAAAAATTCTGACAGTAATTTTCAGGGAGGCTTTTATCTAAATTGGGGAGGATCACTGGAGAGTTCATTAATTTTTCACATCTTTCCTTGATTTAGAGACGATCAGACTCCTTAGCTTAGACTTTAAACTTTTTGAAGGACAGTTCATCTGTGTTCATGAGGATTACCACCCACACGTGGCAGGCTGCAGAGATGGGGCACTCCAGGAAGGACGTCTGCACCCTAAATGCATCAGAGGAAGGGCTGCTCTCCGAGAGGCATCTGTGCCACGGCAGGATCAGAACCTGACACGGACCATGCTCTAGCAGGGGCTGGAGATGCGGCTCAGGAGCGAAGAGCACTTGCCTACCGTGTAGGAGGCCTTGGGTTCAATGCCCAGCTCCGTGTGCATAAAAAAAGGAAAAAACGGTCCAAGTAGGTTGTATAGGAGAAAAATAAGAGCAAAGGCTTTGGGTCAAGTAGGCAAAGTAGGCAAAGGTTGTGAACCCAGTTCTGCCACCTCCTAACTTCATGACACTGAGAAGCTCATGAGACCGTGCATACAGAGCTAGGGGAACCGTGCCGGGCATATCTTCTAAATTCTCAATAATGTATAGCTTACAAAGCAAAAACAAGAACAAAACCCAAGGAAATTATAAACATTAATCTGAAGCTTCTTGCACCTGCACTTGAGTAACCAACCCTCAAGACCGGAACTATTACTCCTCAACTGCAGGCAATGACACAAACATGTCCTTTTGGAGAATGGCAGTTTCTTCTTTGTTTGACTTTAGCAGTGGGTGGGGATGAAAGAATTCAGACACACAGCCCAGTCTGAAGTGATGCTTTGGCAAACACAATGAGCTCCCTGGGCTCGCTCCTCTAAGTATGCCCCCAACAATGAAGTTACCACATACACATCACCCTCAACACTCTGGGGCCATGTGTGTAAAAACCTTAACTCAGTTTTTCCTTTCTCACTATGAAATTAATACAAATGTTCCAAAATATTTGGAACATTCAGAAATGTATTAAAAAGTGGGGGAAAAATTGCCTATGTGTAAGATCCTACACAGAGAGGCGATTTATTTATTTATTTTTGAGAAAAGGTCTTGCTATGGAGCTCAAGCTGGCCTTAACCTCACTGTATAACCCAAGTTGACTTCAAATTTACAGCAACCTCCTGCCTTAGCCTCCTTAGGATTATAGGTAGAATATAGGCATGTGCTGTAAGGCCTAGCTCTGAGATGCAATTTACTTATTTATTTTATTTTATTTATTTTGGATTTTTAGGGAAGGGTCTACAGGGTGTTCAGGGTCTCACTACTCTGAGATGCAATTTAATATTGACAATTTCAATACATGGTATTTCCTTCCAGTATTTTTGATGCTGCACATTGAATTCTCCTTTCTTTGCCTTCCTATGACATTTATTTTATAAATTCAGGGTTGTATATTCAGGACTGAACCCAGGGCTTTGGCACTGAAGTACATGCTCAGCCCTTTTTATTTGGAGAAAGTCTCACTAAGTTGCCCAGGCTTAGCTCAAACTTGTGATCCCTCTGCCTCAGCCTGGCAGTGATGGAATTACAGGCATGTATCACTATAGCTGGTACTTCATAAAATCCAGGTTTTAACAGCTTTGAAACATTCTACCAATAATGGTCATAGTTAGGTATTTTATTTTTTTCCTATTTTGTTATTACTATTAACATCTGTGTGACTAAAATCTTGTCTCATTTATCCCTTTCTCAGTGTATAAACAGTAACATGCACTTTTTAATAGTTACATGCTTATGTTTACTTTTTTGTTGAGCTGTACTGAATTATTAAACAAATAGGTTAAATGACTTTTTATTGCTACTTTGTTATGTAGTTCCTTGATAACTACCAAGCTTAAATTTTTAAAAATATTAGCCACTTATTATGTCTTTTTTAGTGAATTCTCCAAATGTATCTTTTCCTACTTTTTTTTTTTTTTTTTTAAGATGAGGTCTTGTTCTATTGCTTGCCCGGAGCACTGTGGCAATTCCACTGCTGGGCAGCAAAACCACCTGGTAGACCCGCTCCAGGGGAGCCGACCACATTGACAGTCCACTACTGCAGACATCTGACAGCACATCACACGATGGCCCTGAACTCCTGGGCTCAAGCAATCCTTGGTCTCAGCCTCCTGAGTAACTGGCACCGCACCCAGCTTCCTGCCTCATGTCTACCAGGGCTCAAATGTCACTCCTGCTCCCCTTGCATGTGTTTCTGCGACTCAGTTTACAGTATACTAACTACCTAACTCATTTACTGTAAAAGAAAGTGCTATATAAATTGGAAAGTGATTTCATTATCTTTTCTTGGTAATTATGTTAATATACTTCCTAGATTTTAAACCTAGTTGTCTCTAGAGTTATCCACTCAAGCAACCTACCTGAGAATCTGAGGCAGAATCCTCTTTTTTGGTTTTCAGTGGTACCTTTGTGCCTATATTAAAAAAAAAAAAAAAGTCATAATGCCAGAGGAAAAGACCGTGCAGTATCAGAGAAGAACATGAGTCGGTGAGTGCAGGTCTGAGGTTCCAGCCTGAGCCGCACCCCTCCAGGACTGTTACTTCATGAGGGGAACTACTAATTAATTAATTAAGCTCTATGGCCCATTTTTGTTTGAAAGCCCTTGCCATTTCTTACATGAAGCTGTTGCTAATTATTCAAAATGACAAGTTCAGCTCTTTGAAAGAGAACCATAATAATGACTACCCACACAAATAACCATTTGAAATAATTTTTCCTTTTACCTTAAAAAACAGCAATGTGGTTATACAGTATAAGTATTATGATATTATTGGTTTACTTGAATTAGGATACAACAAAACCCATATTCTCTATACTCACTTAAAACATCTGCTCCAGAGTGGGGGTGATCTTCAATAAGCTCCACGAAGTTAAGGGGAAAGATCCCAGTTCTGTCTCCAAGTTCTCCTCTAGCCCATTCCTCATTCACATACTCTTTAAGGAAAATTATTTCTCCCTCTGAGAAACTTAACTCATCCTTCTGATCTCCAATATATTCAAATCGAGCAATGCATCTTGGGTCTCTGAACAAGGAACATATTTGTAGGTTAAATATATATTAAACAAAAGGCTTTAATTGGTTTTATTTTCAGTTCCCAAGTTTGGCAACATTTCATTCCATAAAACAGAACCAGTGCTGCCTAGTAAAAATCATTATTAGTATTTTTGGTACTGGGGATTGAACTCAGGACCTTGCACTTGCCAGGCAGGTGCTTACGTAGCTGAGCTATCTTCCTAAACTCCCTATAACTAATTTTGAAAAAATGTTTTAAAAGCTTTATCCAATAAAGCTTTATCAAGATTTTTTTTATGAGTACTATGAAGCAAAATGTATGTGGATAATTAAAAAAAAAAAGAGTGACATGTGTGAATGACAGGGCTTGTTAGAGGGGACCCATGCCCTCAAAAACGCTGAAGCTCAAGGGCACAGCATACAGTGGGTGGTGAGCTTACACTGTCACTGCTGGTTTTTGACACTGTTTACTTCATTACCAAATCTCCCCAGATGCTATGTGCTTGTCCCCTGGGATGGCAGCAACTGTGGCCACTCAGCCCTAGCGCATTACAATGAAGAAAGCTGGCCCTGATCCCCATGGCCCAGATGCAGGGCAGCTTGCTAGGGCAGCAACTCTGCAGAGCAGAAGCACAATGTGTGCTGAACCAACTAAGGAGCCAGATATGTAGGAAAACAGCTTTACACAAGAAGTGTGATGGAAATAGAAACTTGCAGTTCAAAGCACATAACTACCTCTGTTTTACAAAATAATTCCCCACCCAACACTCTCTCTCTTTTTTTGCTTTTATTGAGATAGGGTCTTGCTATATAGTTCAGGCTGACTTGAACTCACTATGTAGACCAGGCTGGCCTCAAATTTACAGCAATCTTCCTGCCTCAGATTCCTAAAATGTGAGATTACAGGCATGGCTCCCTATACCAGGCTTTGATTCTAGGATCTTTTGAAGAGTCTTTGCTTCTGTTGGGTATGGTAAGGCCTTCAAGGCTAGGCTGGGCGACACAGTGAGACCGGGTCTCACAAAAAACAAAACAAAACAAAATAGCATTGTTTCTGATTCTTAGAACAATCCTTAACTGAGCTACAATTTTGACTAAAAATAATATAAAAGCAGAGATGACATTCAGTCTCTAAAAGGTATGATTTAATATCAAACTTATGAGACTTCACAAAGCAAGTCTCAATAGCAAGAAGCTAAAGCTGCTTGAAGAGATAGAGTTGGTCCTTGCACCAATCATAGTCTGGCTTACATTAGGTCAACGGATCAGTGGGTGTTTGGGTCCACTGATTGTTTAAATTCAGTCTGCATGGTACATGCTGCTTAAAAATAGGAATAAACTGAACCTGAAATAAAATTCAACTGCTGTGGCATCAGAAGTTTTCTTATTTGTGATAACCTTTTCATTTATTTTCTCAAGTCCCTTGGGAGCACTGCCTTCTGTCTGACCTATTGCTAGACAGGTTTACAGTCTTCACTAGGTAGTGAATCCTATTAACTTCTTCATTTAACTAGAATATAAAGTTGCATTGTGGCAGGGTTTTAAATCAACTGAGGGGTTACAATGATACATAAAAAGGTATATAAATTCATGCAAAGGTCTTCAGACATACTGGAGAACCCCTTCAATTTAATCCTTCCTTCACTTCTCCCAGCTCTTCTTTAGAAAAGAACAATACAAAATGTCTAGGAGGTTTTTGTTTTGTTTTACAGTTCTGGGGCTTTGTTAAAGCCAGGCAAATTATCTCTACTCCTGTGTAGCACCCCTGTCCTGTCTAGCAGTTTCATAGGATCCATATTTCTGCAAGATTTATTTTCTGTGACAAAAATAGTTGAACCTGAAAATCTGTTGGTAAGTAAAACACTAGAAAGCTAAACTAAAATGCATAGGGGACAAAAGCAGCTCTTCTCAGGCTCAGGCCAGGCTGTCGGAGACATTTAGGCCAGACTCCTCTTGGCTACTAGCCCTAAGGCCTGCACAGACAGCTGCTTCGAATGGCTTCTATTAGCAAGTTAGTTACATTTTTATCAGTTTACTTCCTACCACTTTTAAATAAGTCAAGCATTCTTTATAATTCAAAGGGCACTGAGAAGCCAGGCATGATGGTACGTGCCTGAAGTCCTAGCAAGTCTGAGTCCTACCTTGACAACTTAGACTCTGTCTTGGAAGAAAAAAAAAAAAATTTGGGATGTACTTTAGTGCAAAGGCCACGGGTTCAATCCTCAGTACTGCTGACGAACAAACATACATCCTAGATGGGCAGGGTGGTACACACCTGTAATCCCAACACTCAGAAGGCTGAAGCAAGAGGATTGCCATAAATTTGAGGCCAGCCTGGGCTATACTGTGAGTTCAAGGTCAGTGTGAACTACATAGTGAGACACTATTTCAATAGCAGTAGTAGTAGTAGTAGTAGTAATAATAATAATAATAATAATAATGATAATAATAATAATAATGCGCCCCCCAACAAACAAAAGAACAACAAAACAAAAAGACACTGAAGATCTGAGAATCCCATATTGGAAGTTTTAAGCTTAGTATTCTTCATGATCTACCCACATTTTGTACAAAAGAAAAATAAAACTTACTCATTAACATGAGATGAAACAGATTCTCTCTTCCCACTTCCTCCTTCTGGAATATCAACCTAGTAAAAGACAAAGCCATGGTAACAACTGCGCCCTGCCCACTCTTTAATTAAAGTCTAAGGCCAACTTAATTAGGAAATGCATGACTGAAATCAGCCACTTAAGTCAGAAGTTAAACATATTCGTATGACAGGTGCTAATAGTAATAAATCCTGAATTTGGGTCTTGAACAAAAGCTGTAGCTTGTGATGTAAGCCTCCCTGGACAGACAGAAAAAAATTATTAGCTGGAAATACGTGCATTAGCGTCATTCTATCCCCGGAAGTTCTCTGGGTCATGATCTCCAAGTTGAAAACTTTGGCTGCAAAGGATTTATAACAGAAACCAAGCAGAGAACAGACGTGTCTGTAATCCCAGCACTCAGGAAGCTGCAAAGCAGGTGGATCCTGAGTTCAAATCCAGCCTGGATGACCCTGCAAGAGCCTGACTCAAAACCCAAAACAGAACAAACAAAAGGATAAAACCAGTCATCAGGCATGTGTGTTGACACACATTAGGGTCACCACAACTATTCAAAGAGATGGCAGGATATTGCAATACCTACTTAACCTCTAAGTAAAATAACTGGACCAAACTTGTGCCTTCCTTCTATAATTCAGGAACATGTTTTCCCCTTTTGTGTGTACAAGAAAGAGAGAAAATAATTCTTACTAAATAAGCATCTACTGGGCTAAAGAGGAAAGTGATCGATGATGTAGAGTGTGCTTAAGGAGAGTCACATGGAGAGAAAACATTCTCTCAGGCTTTCACAGAGAGCACATTGGCCAAGCAATGGCCGTGACTCATCCACATGGCTGACACTGACAAAGGCTCTACAATCTGAGGTACAGGATCTCAGGATAAATCCTGAGGGCATTTCACTGACCTTATCAGACCCAAAAGCTACAACTCTTGTTGCATAGGTCCTGCTTTACCTTGGTCTTAACCATTCAGCAGAAAAGTAGAAAAACGAAATATAAGAAGTAAAGCCATGCTGTTATGTTGAGCTGTAGGGGACTCAGGTCAGCAATTTCTGACATTGCTAGTGAAGTGGAAGACCCAATACTATTACAGGCTACTGGACTCTTTTAGAATGTTTTGCTGAGTTTATACACCTATAATATTCAAATAATGGAACTTAACAAAAAAAGGGTATACAGATGAATGTCCATTTTGTATCTGTGTATTCAAAGTGGTTAGGATAGATATATAGTTACATTCTCTTAATGAATAGAGGGATTTGTTCTAATGGGGTTTGTAAATAGGATATCATGTCTGCATCTTGTACAGCAATTAACCACTAGGAAGAATGTATGCAATGTGTTATCATTGAAACTGTCCTACCAATTTTGTTTGAAACTGTCTCATTGCTATTTGTTTCTCAATAAAATTATGGGGAAAAAAAAGCATCCACTAAACAGCAGGCACTTTCTTTCACACTTCACTTATAAGGCTCAGTAAAGCTGGGCTATAATAACATTCCTGGCCAAGTGCAAGCAGTCTGAAACTATTTAAGGCTATGAGGTTTATATTAAATAAAACAGGGCCCCTCTTGATGAATTCTATAAGTTCAAAGTTTTAAAACAATTTTTTAAGCTTGTGGGCTTAGAAATAACATTTATACCAATAATGTGGCAGATTCAGTGTGACTGATTTCAGTGTGGTAATTGTGCTTTTAAAACTACTGCTACATTGGGCAGAAGAAAAATGAGGAAGAATGCAAAAGCTAACATTATTCTTAATATTAATTTTGAGAATGTGGTTGAATTTCTCCAAAGAGTCAGGCCATATACACTGAATAATTTTTAAGACCTACATTTCATTATCCAAGAGACTCAAGCTCATTTCTATTTGAAAATACAGATTTTTTTATACTCGTTTTCTTTCTTTTTTTTTTTAGTATTTAGGACAGGGTGTACAGGGTCTCACTGTGTAGATCGGACTCGTAGGGATCCTCATGTTTACAGCCTCCTAAGTGCTGGGATTACAGGCGTGCACCACCACACCCAGTCTCAATCACCATCTCAGCACTGCCTCAACATGCCCCAGGGGTGGGGCTGGCATGGCAGGCCAGGGGATCGAACTCCCAGCCTCTGCATCTGCCTAAGTAGGTGCTTTAATCTGCTAAGCTATTTGGCTGGCCCTTTATACATGTTTTCTAAGTTTCTGATGAAATGTAAAATTATTTCCTTTGCCCCTTGAATAAGCTAAGCATGTAAGCTCTGCGGTATTTGGAGCCAAGTCCCAGTCTCTCTGCTACTGTGAAAGTCCCGGGGCAGTCTCATTGTCTCCTCCCCACCACAATCCCTTGCGCAGAGCAAGGGTACACTCCTGGGTCAGGCTGAGAGAGCCTATAAAAAATGGCTTTAATATGTTTTTTTTTCCAGTCAGATTTGAAATTATGTGGAAAAGCACCAATGGATTACTACCTTCAATAAAAATATTTTTGTATTCCCAAATCGAGTTTTTTTGGAAAAAAGAATGGGAGATAAATAGTGTGAGAATACAAAGAAAGCAAAGATAAAATGCACTATAAAGAAAATGAGAAGTGGTACTATGACTTCAGAGAATATTCCTTTCAGAACAATGCAGCACCCATTTCATTCCTATGCACTAAATGTTTCAAAGAAATAACATAAATCCTTCAGTGTTTAGCAAACCTCTAAGAGTATCAAAGTCACCAACTGACCTGTGGTGACCTTTCACTCTATAATCCAGATAGCACATCATAATAGTTAATCAATGGGCTGGGGCTATAGCTCAGTGGCACAAGTGCCTGCCTGGCAAGCACAAAGTCCCAAGTTCGATTCCTGGTACAAAAAAATCATTTGTTTAATCTAGTTAAATGAAACCTTTTTTAGTTTTTTGTGGTACTCGGAATCAAATTCATGACTTTGCACTTCCCAGGCAGGTGGTGTGCTGCTGAGCTATATCTTGGGCCTAGCTTTTAGTTTCGAATTTTCTAAATTCTAATGAAAGAAAGAAAACTGGAATTCAAGAATGGAGGGAGGGCCGGCCTGATAGCTCAGTGGACTAAAGCACCTGCTTAGGCAGAGTGCAGCGGCTAGAGTTCAATCCCTGTGTGCCGTGCCAGCCCCACCTGTGGGGTGTGCTGAGATGGCAATTGAGACTGAGCATGGTGGTGTGCACCTGTAATCCCAGCACTTGGGAGGCTGAAAACAGGAGAATCACTACGAGTCTGATCTGTGTAGTGAGACTGTCTTAAATACAGAAAGGAAAAAAAAAAAATTGGAGGGGAAAAAAGACTGAAATAAGTCAGGTACATGTACAAAGGCCCTACGATGAAAGCATTTATTATGTATATTTAAAATATACCAATAAACTTAAAAAGAATTAAGGTAGGCTTCTAGCTGTTTTTTCCAACAGCAAGTAACACTGGAGCCACACAGTGCATGACCAACTGAAGCAAGCCCAACCCACTTACGATTACTCTCACGTAGTTGGCAGGAAACACACCAGTCTGGTTTCTACATTTCCCTCTGTACCAGTCTGTATCTATTTTTTCAAGAAGATAAACAATTTCTCCAGATGTGAGGTTCAAATCATCAGCTTGTTCTGTAATATTACAGTATAATTACATATGAGAAATAATCTTGGTTGCATATTTGATTAAAGCAGACAAGGTAGTACTTAGCTTTGTCTACTAAGGTAGCATATTGTATTGATTAGAAAACATTATACTAGTCAAATTTACTTTTTAAAGAAAATTATGTTTTGTATTTTGACATTATAAGCTCCCTCTCCTAAGATCAAATTAGCAGTATTTACTATGCACTGATGAATGGTGAGTAATTTTTTTTTAAGCCATTATGTTGGCCTATGATTCTCACTAGTGCCAATATAAATCTCTTATTGAATATACAATGAGCAATGAAAGGGCTTTATAGACATGGTATAATATTATCACTACTCTCATTCATGCTTAAAATCATTTCAATTTCAAATACTAAGGGAGTATTATAGCTCTTTAGCAAGTAAATTTATCCACACTAAACTACAGTTTACTAAGTGGGTAAAAAAAAAATATATGAAGAGCTTATTTCAGGGCTGCTGATGTATCTCAGTAATAAACCACCTGCCTAGCAAGTGTGAGCCCCTAGTTCAATCCCCAGAACTGATAGGAAAATAAGTTTATTTGTAGCCTGGCAATGAATTGCATGTAAACAATGATTACCACAATTAAACATTTTGATCTCATCTAATAGATAAGTATAGATAAGATAATTTAGGACAAAGAACTTCACTTATCCAACCAGAAGGAAACTTAATATTACAATAGCCAATTAGCACCCACTATTCTGAAAGAGCTACAAATTTTAATTTGTTATTGTCCCCCTACCCCCAGGCAAGGATATGTAACTGAGCTCTCTGGAATGGATAGTTGTGGTGCCCTTTCCTAAAGGCAGAGCAGTTGGAGAAGGTGCCATCTCCAGTCTAGGATCTACAAGCACAGAAAAGAAATTAACCCAAAGATGCCCTTACCTGCTAGAAAATCATGAAGAACCACAGCATGAGGAATATTACTGTCAACAGGCTTCTGAGCATGGCTTAAATCCTTAGGGGCCAAACAGGGCTGTGAATGAAGTGAAAGGATACAGGCTGGACTTATTCCGAGATTATCTTAGTTATTCTCATTGCTAAAACAAATATCTGACACCCACAACTTAAAGATGAAAAAGTTTATTTTAGTTCACAGTTTAGAGAGGTTTCAGTCCATAAGTGGCAGGTTCCAAGGCAGGGAGGCATGGCAGACAAGCATCACAGAGGAGAAACAGTCCACGGCAGGGAAGGCAGAAAAGTACGGCCTGGTGCTGGCAAGCCTTCCTTTGCCCTTCATCCCATCCAAGCTACAAGCCTACTGGATGGTGCCAGCCTCACACAGCGTGGGCCTTGCCATTACCCACACCCACAACTATGCTAGGTCAATCAGTGGACAAATGTAGTTATCACACACCCTGAAAAGTCCTACCTAGGAGCACATAAGGCTTTGCAGGACATCTAGATGTAACCCATATACAATCCCTAACGAAGACCAGTCCCTTTTTTCCTTATTAGAGTTCTTTTAACACAATTCCAAGAAGCAAACCATATAGGTGAGAAAAATAGGAGAATTAGTATCAAATTTAGAAGAAATGTGTCTTTGCCAGAGAGGATAAATAACTCTTAATACCTCCAGCATGCACGCATCCATCCATCTACTGGCCCTGTGCTTGCTTCCTCCAAGAAAGTAAAAAAAAGGAACTCCATAAATTAAAAAACAGAAAAAGACAATGGTACCTAGTCTATCTAAAAGCAGTCTTACTTCGTTTTGAGACAGGGTCTTGATGTGTAGCTCAGGCTAAGAGTTGAGTTCACTAAGTAGCCCAGGCTGGTCTCAAACTCATGGTGATCTCAGCCTCCTGAGTACTGGGATTACAGGCAGATGTCATCATGCCTGGCAAAGCAGTGGTTTTTTTTTAAAACTTCTTTTCCCGTCAAGGGAAGTTTTTTCTTATGATCAGGATTAAACTGTTATAAACAGAGCCTTAAAAATTGTATGTTTATTAGGATGAGAAAAGAAGAAAGCTGTGCAGTTTATATTCTTGCTATGTGTAATGCAGGGAGCTAATGACTTCCCATAGAAGTATAATTCACAAAAAATAAAATCCATTTCATTTATTACCACTTAACTGAATGCTTTCTCTAATTTGAAAGCAATGCTACCTCCCATGCCTGCCTTAGATTTTCTATTTGGTTTGATTGGTTTACTTACTCTGCAGTAATTCTAAGTAAATTAGCAAAGAGAATATAATATTCTCTGCCCATCTAGCCCATGGCTGAGTAGAGGGCAAGATTGAGGAAAGGCCTTTTCTTAATGACAAGCAGTTGTTACTTTTAATTTCTTTACACCAGGAAACATGGTTATCATCATCATCATCATCATCATCATCATCATCATCATCATCATCATCAATAAATCTGACCCCAGGGTGTTATCTGGAGTTACAACTCAGAACCGACTAAGCGCAGTGGTCTACACTTGTAATTCTAGCCCTCAGGAGGGTGAGGCAGGAAGATTGCAAGTTTAAGACAGCATGGACAATTTAAATATAAAATTAAAAACTCTTCAATAAAGGCAAAATAAATGAAGGCTGATTTCTGTGCCCTTTGTCTCTTTTTCCAATCAGTGATTCTTGTACTCTCTCCCAACTCTCTTCTTTTTTCTGCTCTCCTTGGCCCGGACACCACACTGTGAATAAGGGTCCGCTTTCTCCCTTCCCACCCTGCAGCACCTCTGCTTGGATCTTTCCAGAATCTCAAATGTTCTTTCAACCACAATGCACCACAGAGGCAACCTATGTTGTCTTAGATTAGGTAAACTGAAATCAGGCCTAAGGCAAGGCAGTAATGGCTAATGTGGCTCACTCTATCAGCTTACTAAAGTAGCACTAACATTTTGTTAGGGATTGCTCAATGCTTTCCAAATAAGGATTTTCAGGAACTGTGGAAAGGAGCCGTGTGATATTTTAGATTTGGAATAACTTGAAATTTTCTTTATAAGATTAATTTTATGTGCATATGTGTGATTTTTAGTTTTTCTTACATCTGTGGAGAAAGGAATGATTACTCAATAAATGACTTTAGGCTATATGGTATCTATTTAGGAAAAAAGTCAGAGATCTACCTCATACCTACTACAAGTATTAGCCTTTAAAAATATATAAGATAATTATGAGTTTCTCTTAGTTCACTGAAAAGAAAGGTTTGTGCTAATATTGTTTGGGGAATTTTTATGCCCATATCTTGTACTGTGACTGCTTTGAAGATAACAATATGTAATTTACTAACTATTGTTATTCTATTATTTTGTTTTAAAGTTTTTTTTCTTTTTTTCACCTAAAAAAATGGACCAAAGATCTTTTTCTCATTTACTCTTCTCTTGTTGCTGGGACAGATACCCAACACCCAAAATGAATGAAGGAAAGTTTTTTTTTTGTGGTACCAGGGATTGACCTCAGGACCAGGCAAGAATTATTCTACTGAGCTATTTCCCCGGCCCGAAGGAAAAGTTTATTTAGCTCACAGTTACTGGAGGTTTCAATTCACACTTAGCTGGCTCCAAATCAGAGCGGCACATGGCAGAGAGCAACCTTTCATGGTGGCGGCAAAGAGCAGAGAGCAAGAGCAAAAGGGCAGGAGCAGTGGCAACAATGGCTACAGAGAGCAAGTCTGTCTCCCTTAAATTGCATTCAGGCTATTGGCACCAGGTGGGGTGTAGTACTCAAACCCATAATCCCAATAGCATTTGCACTCATAATCCCAATAGATCATGAGTTAATCACAAACTCTACAAGTCTGCCCCATGACTGCATGAGGCTTTGGGGACAACTAGACAAACCATAACATCTCTCAGGAGTGGGACTGAGAGATGGGGAGTAATTTGTGCCTCCCCAGCAGAGGTTCCTTCCCTGCCTTTAATGGATGGACATCTTGAGGAATGGTGTCCATTAACTAGTTTGACAGGCGCAGGGGAAGTGAAGCAGGCTAGACAAAGCTGCCCACCAGAGGTCAGCACAGTGCACACACACCGCTAGCATGCAGATCTGGCAGGTAAGCCCGTATTTTCCAATCTCTGCTAATACAAACGGCATTATACTAATACAAATAGCTAATATTTATTGTTCCTTTGCTGTATGCCATGCGCCGTCATAAATACCTTTTCATGGTTTAGATTTGAAATGCCCCCAGAACTCACATGCCAAATGATAAGCTTCTGAGAGGAGAACAGATCATGAGGGCTCTCACTTCACCAGTGGACTAAGCCACTGCCTGATGACATTATGCACACAGGCGGGGGATCATGGGACTGCCTCTGGGCCCTGGCTCCTTCCCTTGCTCTTTCCCATACTCTGCATCCGGGCTGCCGCAAGTGGAGCAATCTTTTTGCATCGTGACCTCCTGCCAAGATGCTATGTCTCACTCCAGGACCACAGCAATGGAACTACCCCACGAATTCAAGTCTTGACAAAAAAGCTAAAAGTGAGCTACAGTTGTTTTGTTACAGCAAAGAAAAGCTAACACCTTATAAATGTTAGCTCATTTGAGGATGTTTGAGATTTGCACATACAATAAAGTCCAGCTGTTTAGTGTACATGGTTTTAGCATATCCATAGAATTGTTTAACCATGAATACAATCCAAGTCTATATTCTGTGGGGTTATTACTTCACACATTAAAAAACTAATAAGGGGGTTAAATAATTGCCTCAGGTGATGGAACGGAGCTAAATCCCAGCTTCCCAACACACAGGCCTATCATCACCATCATACCCTTGGCAAGATCCCCTTCTTCCATGATCTGTAGGATTTAACTGCAATTGATGCTTAATACTGTGTTTACAACATTAGATGAATGTATTAGAGATATTTACCTAAAAAATGACGCTTTCCAAAGATTAAGTTTTATTTTTCTACACAATGGAGTAATACCCAGCAGCCCAAAATCCTAAAGGAAAATTCACTGTCACCAATAGACATAATGACATGGCCATTTCAGGAAATTTCTCAGCATATAGCACAAGTTAAGATGATGTTTAAGGTAGAAAAGTCTGGACAGTTATAACTTTATCAGGGTGTGGTGCACACCTGTAATCTCACTACTCCAGGAGGCTGAGGCAGGAGTCTAAGTCCAGCTCAGCCAGTTTAGTAAGACCCTGTCTTATAATAAAATATTTTTAAAAGGCACAAGAGTATAGCTCAGTGAAAGGCCCTGTGTTCAATCCCCAGTATCATCACTAATAACACACACACACACACACACGTGTGTGTGCGTGCTTGTGCATGCGCTTTTAATTTTTATTTAATTTTTTTTTTAAAAAGGAAAGCTTTTTGGCATGATAACTCCCACTGCAGCCATCAGTGTATTCTGAGAGAGGAAGGGTAGTGATGGCAGATGGGCAATGCTATACTAAAACGTTCACATGCTGGCTGCAATTAGATGAATATACAGCTGTCTCCGATCACCCAAATATAAATGCTTCATTTCTGAGAAAACTTCAAAAGATAAACTACCTTCTAAAAAGAAAGAATTGGATTAGATCATGAGAATTAGGATGAATGGTAAACCAATATTTTACTTTGGTTGAATAATTGGTATTATTTTTCATAAATGCTATATTAACAGTGAAAATTTAACTGAAAAATGTAAGCTCTTCCAAAAATATCTCTCTACAAATTGCTCAACACTATTTCTCTTGATAAACAAATGACCTTCAATAATCATTGTATCTCCCAAGGCTCTCCAACGTTGTTAGGGCTACATTGTGATTTGCAGTTGCTGGATTAGGTATCATTACTTCATGATCTAAAATTAGAGCAGTGGGCTGGTGAGATAGCTCAGCGGTCTAAAGCACCTGGTTGGGGAAGTTTAGGCAGGTACAGGAGACTGTGGTTCAATCCCCAGCACCATATACTGCACCAGCTCCACCCTCAGGGTGGGCTGAGCTGGCCAAATAAATAAATAAAATTAGAGCAGTGAGATTTGCATTACATTTATACTTTAAGGGTTTTTTTTTTTTTTTTTTTTTTTTTTTTTTCCCAGTGCCAGGGATTGAACTCAGAACCTTGTATTTAGAAAGCACTTTTTAAAAAATTATCAGACATAACATTTATAGGACTCTCTTTAAAATCACTATTCATCCTGGGCCTGTGAGCTAGCTCAGCAGACTAAGCGCCTGCATAGGCAAGCGCAGGGACCAGGGTTCAATGCCCAGCACCACAAGCCAGGCCAGTCCCATTCCTGGGTGCACTGAGCTGGCCACTGAGACTGGGTGTGGTGGCACATGCCTGTAATCTCAGCACTGGGGAGGCTGAAAAGAGGAGGATCACTACGAGTCTGAGCTGTGTACCAAATACACAAAAATCACTATTCATTCTGCTAGATAACTAATCTTTGGCATTCTGGTAAATATATTTATAGTACTTAAAAAATGAACAGCTTACTAAGTTGAAAATTATGGGTGAGTATTCTGGCTCCTATAACTCAGTATGCTATGAAAAAGGCAAAACCAATGATAGTCATGCTGTATATCAAGTGTTTAGGACGGTGGTAACAAGTCTCTCAAGTCATTTATTCTAAAAGGGGAATAAATGCTATAATTTTAATTTGTTTAAAATAACCATGCTAATAAAATAAACCTAGGGATGAAATGTAATTAATTAATAGTTCTATGAAATGTGCTGACATGTGCAGTATGACAGCTGTGCAATATTAATTCCTTACGTTGGCTCTGCTTCTGGGAGGTTCATCAAGAGGAGTGATAATCTTCATCTGAGACACGTGAACTCTGCCAGTACCTTCTCCCTTTTGGCATTCCAAGTAATTATTTTCTGCCTGCTTCAGCATCACAAGTACGTCCCCACGCTGTAAGGTACAATATCACTCTCTGAAGCAATTATTATTTAATAAAACATTATTACTTTTCCACATTTTAATCTTTGGAGCCTAAAGCATTTAATAATGTGTAATAGTAGAGACAGAGGCCAGTATTTTTATTTTAAATACCAATCAGTAAAGAAAAAACTCTGCTTTACCTTACAAGACAGCTCTCCAGGGTTTCGAGAGACAATGTCTTCATTGGCAATTCCATGAGGCACAGGTAGCTTAAATATAAAAAGATAAAGGAATTATTCTTAAAAAAAATAATTATTCTTTAACCAAAAAACGTCCTCACTACTTGCTGACCATTTAGGGCTCTGGCAAGTACACCTAAGATGCAACCTTTCTAGCACTTAAGCCCTAGATCTAGTGAGGACTGCCAGGTCTCACAGACATTAAAATTCTTAGGATGTGAAGCTGAGCTGACAGGACCACAGGGCTGAATTTGCCATAACCCTAATAAGGATATTCCAGGTTACATACTTGTTGGCCAAATTCCTTGGAGGACTGAAGTGCAAATACTTAGCACCTGACCTCACTGCTATCAAGGTCCTATGTAATGCAGGGTTGTCACAGTGGTCACCTTCTGAAAACTAATACGTGACTGAAGCTCTCCACGTAAGGCTCGACTGATGCTTCCATTTGCTCTGAGTCTAGAGTTTCCGTGATACCTACTATCTGTTTAAATCCATCTCACTGTCCTAATATCTATTTCACTGTCCGACCCTTGCCACTTCCTGGTCTACTCAGTTTGGTGCAGTCTTAGAACTGTTTTTACATCTGTGTCCCATTTTGGCCATGAGGACTTTTTCCCTTGCTTGACTGGTGAATGTAAATTGATGCGTACAGGTCAGAGGATCTGTACAATATACAAAGTATATGAAGGAGATGGAGAGGGGAGCTGCCTGGGACCCTGGATCATCCAGGAGCCAAGACACAGAGGTCTGTGTGCAGTAGGTGACTTTCCAGCTTCCTTAGATGCTGTGTGTATCAGAAGCTGGCTAGCAGGCTAGCAAGTTAATGGTAAAGCAGCAATGTAAAAATAAATACTTTAATTATTTGATAACAAAAGATGTATCACTCTGAATATGCCATCATATTAATGTTGATGTAATAATTGCCTTGAATTCTCTAAATGTTTTACTAACACTACTGTACACAGCTGTGCTAAGTGACACTTGGCTTCTCGTGAGTAAGGGATCTTAAGGAACAGCAAGGTGCAAAGGTTAAAACTAGACCCATGTCTATCACCATGCACAACACTATAGTCAAGATGGATCAAAGACTTAAATAATAAAACAGAAACACAAAATCTTTTGGAGGAAAATGTAGGTAGAAATCTTAATGACATAGAGGTAGGCAGAGAGTTCATGAGCAACAACCAAACTGCATGGAAATACTTCAAAGAATCAACAAATGGGATCTCATCTTTTTGAAAAGTTTTCGCACTTCAAAGCAAATCTCCACCAGAGTAAAAAGAAAACCCACAAACTGGGAAAAAATTATAGCTGACTGTCCCTCCAACAAAGACCTTTTATCTAGACTATATAAAGAATTAAAAAAAAAATCAGGCTCCCAATTTCAAAGACCCAATTCAGAAATGAACATCTGAGATGAATATATACTTCTCAGAGGAAGAAATACAAATGAAAAGTAAATACATGAAAAAATGTTCAACATCATTGGTCATTTGAGAAATACAAATTAAAACATCTCACCCCAGAAAGAATGGATAACACCAAGAAGTCAGCCAATAACAAGTGCTGGAGAGGCTGTGGATAAAAAGGAATTCCCCACTGTTGTTGGGAGTACAGAGGTAGTGGTACAGTAACTATGGAAATCAATGTGGCAATTCCTTCAAAAGCTAAGATTGGAGATCCCATTCAAGCCAGCTACTCCTCTCCTTGGTATTTTTCTAGAAGGGCTGAAAACCTATACCATAGTGATGTATGTGCAACCATTTTATAGCAGTGCAATTTGTCATGGCTAAATCCTGGAAACAACCCAGATGCCCATCAACTGAATAATAGATAAAGAAGATGTGGTTTTTTATACAATGGAATACTATTCAGCTATAAAACAGGATAAATTTGAGTCTTTTGTCAGTAAATGGATACAACTAGAGAACATACTCTCAAGTGAAATAAATCAGACCCACATGTGCAAACATCATATTGTCTCTTTAGTGTGAGAACCTGAAAGAGAAAAATGGAATCTGAAGGGTACAACAGACACTGGTAAAAGGGGATGAACTAATTCAAAAGGAAAGAGTTACTGAGTTAAGAAGAAGGATAGGAGAGGGAGTGGGGGAAAGAGATTTATCTAAGTATGTAAGCATGATGGTTTGGACAACTGTACTGTGTATTTTGCTGGTCTATAGAAAGGAGCAGTTAATGCTTAGTTTCATCTCCCTTTTTCAACTGTTTGTACTTTTTCTTTTAATTTCTTATACATTTTTTTTCTTTTTCCAATTTTACACACATATATCTGGTAATATGAATAACTGGTTGGAAGACAACACTATGTATTACAAAAAATACTGTAAAACTCATATTACTTTGTTAAGTGAAATTCTGTATCACCTGTAATTCTTCTGTTTTAATTCTAATTTTTACTCTCTTTAAAAAATGACAAAGTGGTAGAGACTTTTGGGGTAGCATAATGGTCAGGAACCTGGGCTCAAAACCAGTTAACTATGTTCAAATCTTGGTCCCCCCACTAGCTGGTTTAATCTCTCCATCTCACTTTTTTTATCTGTACAATGAAGATCTAACTCACAAGGTTTGTGTGAAGAATAAATGAGTTACTTTATGTATAAGTGCTCTAAATAGTACCTGGCTTATACTCAATACACATCAGCTACAGTTTTTATTATTTATTAAGTAATCTATTCCAAAGAATACCCTTGTGTTTTTAGGAATTCAAGTTCCCTTAGTTTAAATGAGCACAAATATACATGGATATAACCTTCTCATCTGCTGATTTCCTTCTCAGAGCACAATTTAAAAAAAAATAGGGGCTGGCCAGATAGCTCAGCAGATTATAGCACCTGCTTAGGCAGATGCAGGGACTGGGAGTTCGATCTCCACTGTGCTGTGCTGGCCCCGCCCCTGGGGTGCACTGAGGTTGAGACTGAGATTGGGTGTGGTGACACATGGCTGTAATCCCAGCACTTGGAAGGCTGAAAACAGGAGGATTACTACCAATCTGATCTGTGTAGTGAAACCCTGTAGACCCTGTACTAAATACATAAAAAACGAAAAAATGAGTGGCTCAAAGTAAAAATTACCTGACATGATGTAACGTACAAAAATATACATTATTAATTGCTGTGCCGGTGAAGAGCTTGTCATATAATTGTTTAAGAAGTACAAACAATTCTGCTCTAATTTTATTCTTTTCCTATTTTATCAGGTTAACCTGACCAAAATATAAAGCACATCAATTCTACTTTTAATGCATGGGTAATGGAGGCAAAAGTCATTTGATAAGAAAAACATTCATAGAGAAAAAATTTAACATCTTATCTCAGTTATTGATAAAAACTTCTAACTAGGAGCTATTAAATGGGACCATAATAATTCAGGTCACAAAATGGAAAAAATGTGAGAATATTTGTATATTTAATTAAATTAATTAATTAATTTATTTATTTGGTGGAACCAGGGATTGAACTCAGGCCCTTGCGCTTGCCAGGGAAGCGCTTATTCCACTGAGCCATCTCCTCGGCCCCTATCTGTATATTTTAGCAGTAGAAACTCAATTTCTATTTTAGTTTAAATTTTACTCAGTGGGCAAAGCAGCTCTAAGATTTTACAATCCCAAGATATAACTGTATCTGTCAGCTGCTCTCCTTAGCATAAGATGCCCAATCTTCTCAGTTGTAGATGGTACTATGGCCTGCTTATCTAAAGCTCTCTATGGATCAAGGGCCAAGCCTGCATTTGTTTCATCATCTTTTTCTAAGGAATAATGGCTTTTCTATATATTTTAGGACAAACCTCTTGACCATAACATTTTAAAAAGCAATATTTACCATGTATTTCCTGTAAAGAGGGTGTCCTGGTTTGGGGCGAGGGGGTAGCACCGGATCTTGATTTTTAAAGACTTGACTCTTGGCTTTTGAGAGTCCAGATGCCAAATGACTTGGCTTTTTCTGAAGATCCATGTCAGAAGAGGACCGATTAAAAGGCAGTTTTTTACTTGGTATTCTAGAAGCAGAAAGTTTGGGAGGTGGTGGTCTTTCAGGGGCCCCTTTGGGAGGAGGCCGTCGAGTTAAAATCACTTTTCCATTTACAGGTCTGAAAGTTAATGTAGTAGTCATGAGTCAGCATTTTGATTGCATTTATCTTCTGTTCTGTCCTTTCTTGCAGGTGTGCATTTCACTCACTCACACACACACACACACACACACACACACACACACACACACACACAGTTTTCTGCTAGTGTAATACAATTACTGAAACCCGCAGGGTATGCTATTTTTGAGCAAATGGCTGTTGCATTAAACATTACATTATTAGAGGAAATGCCATGATGTTCCAGCTTCCTCTTATTTTGCACTAGAGATTCATTAGTTCAAGACAAACAAGCATTTACTAGCATGAGCTCTCAAAGGCCCCAAATGCTCTTAAACACATGATGACTGTTTCAGAAAACTAAGCACTTTCTACCAGAATCTGAGATGAAAAGCTTATAATAAGATTATCAGGTATATGTGCCAGGGTCTTGTACATTATAGAGGAGGATCCCCTACTGTTCACATTATAGTAATCACTATTAAAACTCTAGGATAATTTGAGGAAAATTAGCTCTGCAAGTGGAGTAAGACAGCTATTACCTTGAAAGCCTTAATCACCATGACAGAAATAAACTGCAATACAGTGCAGTCTTCAACGACAGCACAGCCTTTTGTTCACACAGCTCTGGGACTCAGGTGGCAGATCACCTGAGTTCGCAAAGCCAGTATTCCTTTAAAATATACAGAATAGGGCCATATCCCTTTCCCAAGATGGTATTTGTCTTTGTGTGCATATGTGTTCCAGAAATAGAGTTCCTTTAGGTCTACAAAGCAGTCTTGTTCATTTGTTCCAGGAAAAGTAAAAGAGACCCAGTTTGTGCTCTAAGTTTAGGAATAGGTTAAAAAGAAAAGGAACAGAAATTCCAACAACCTTCGGTCAGAAGCAGACTGTGGGCTAGTGGCCTGGGTGAATTCATGATTTATTTGATTTCTAAAAGAATATCTAAGGCCAACAACATGCAATCTGGATGACAGAAATAGTTGGGTTGGAGTCATTAATTCTTTTCTAATGTGTTCCATACCAACTTACCTTGGTGGCAACCTTGGCGGTCCTTGCCCAAAACCTCCTGTTTCACCTGTATGGTCAGGAACCTACAAATGTTAGATAATACTTATTAGTCAAGGCCAATCCAAAACAAGAACTTGTCAGCAGGAATGTTGGACAACTTCTCAGTTGTGTCAGTAAGTAAAAATGTAGCTGACTTACAGAAGAGAACCAAAAAGAGTGTCATTCTTAAACAATAGTAACTCATTATTCACTTCTCTATAAGTTATCTGTATCCTTTACAGGTGCAACACTGAGGAAGAAACCACAGCACCATGAGTTGTACCACAACCTGACCAGGGTACACATGGCTTGGGCCTAGAGATTCAGGAAACACTAAAGGATGGTGTGAAAGTCACGGGAGCTACCCAGTGACAATGTAAGCGGGCACTGGAAAGAATGAAACAAATATATGCTATCTTTCATCCCAATTACATAAAGGAAACCTACGGTCCCTGAGTTTACACACACAGTAAGTGGTTACTAGTTTGTTTTGCTTTGAACAAGTAGATCTTATTATTGGATGGTTTGACGTTTTGTAATAGTTTTTTTTTTTTTTTTCTTTCTTTCTTTTTTTTTGGTGTGTTTGTATGTAGTACTGAAGATTGAAACTAGGGCCTTTACATCAAGCTACATTACCATCCCACTTTATTATTTTAAGACAAGATTTCCCAAATTGCCTAGGCTGGGCTTGAAATTGCAACCTTGCCTCAGCCTCCCCCACTGCTTGGATTATAGACATGTATCAACAAACCTGGCTTGTAGTGGACTTTTTTGAAATAAAAGGTGAGAAGGTTTAAAAAAATATCCATAAGGGATGGCCTGAAAGGAAGGCATTGGGGAGAAAACAGAAGTCCAAGAAAGATGCTTATACCACTATAGCAAAGGGGTTTACAGCATGAGAGGAAGTTGTGTATGGATAAGTAAAGGGGAACAATGTAAAAAGTAAAAGATGATTACAGTTAGAATGTTTCAGTAGATCAAAGTAACTGGAAGTAGAGATATTAGTATGAATAATATTGTTAGTATCATGCTTAATTTAAGAATGTTTCTCTACAAGAAGGAACTTAAACTGTGATGCTTGAAGTTTTTCCTCACATGTTAGTTCAAGGATTAAAAAATGAGTTAATACATGGGAAACATTTTCAGGTCTTCTGTTGAGTTGGAAGTTAAGAAACCTCATTAAATTCTTACTGTCTCTTTTGTCCAGCTTTCCTACATTCCTAAACCTGCAATATGACATCCAAAAGATACTCCCCACATACCAGAGTTTTGCTAATGTAGTTCAGGTTGGTCCTGAACTCACTAGGTAGCCCAGGCTGGCCTTGAACTCTTGGCAATCCTACTGCCTCAGCCTCCCAAGTGCTGGAATTACAGGAATAGAAAATATTTCTCTAAGATCTTATCAAGGAAAAAATGCTAGCCCTTTAAAATTACACTTTTTTTTTTTTTTTTAGGGGGTTGAATTACAGGTAGGGAATCTTTGGGCTAATTCAGTGTTCTTCCTTCTTATGAATGAGTTAAAACTTTCATAATTTTAAATTCATTCTATTTATAACATTTACTTAAATACCAAGTGATTAATTGCCAATAACTGTGATCATTTAAACATGTTTCAATGTTTTAAAAATCCCATTAAAAAAAAAATTAAGCTTGCCCTTAAAACTTGGTTTCACTAATGAGTTCAGTTAATGTAGTGAGACAAGTCACCAGCTCATAAACCCTGCAATATTCTACAATATAATCCATGCCTTATAAATATGCTGCTGACTGTATTTTTTCCTGACAATACTGCCATACTTGAACATGCAGTTATTTCTTTGGTCAACTTCAAAATTAAGCATACTCTAGAAGACAGGAAGAAACTTGCTATTTCTCAAAATTATACTGGTTAGATAATTTGTTATCTAACTAGTTGTTAGATCATTATGGAAAATTTAAAAAGGTATCAAAGTTCAAGTATGACATGGAAATATATACAGATAATGTACCACAGTAAATGCATAGTATATGATCCTTATTTTTAATTTTCTTTTAGTGTATTTGGTTGTTGTAGGGTCTCATTAAACAGCTTGGACTCATGGTGATCCTCCTGCTTTCAGCCTCTTCAGTGCTGGAATTACAGGCGTGTGCCACTACACCTGGACTCTGGCTGGCTCAGCTGGCCCTAGGGTGGGGCCGGCCCAGCTGCTGTGGCATATAGTGCCAGGGATGGAACCGCGGTCTCTATGCTTATCTAAGCTTGCCTAAGCAGGTGCTTTAGTCTGCCAACCTATTTTGCTGGCCCATGATCCTTATTTTGTACTAAATATTAGCTATCCTTTTTTCTTGATTTTTTTCCCCCCCGGTGTTACCAGGGACCAAACTTGGGACCTTGTGCTTGCTGAGCAGGCACTTACGCCACTGAGCTATCTCCCTGGCCTGGGTGGTGATATTTTTATGAGACTTCTTAAACTGTCTTTTTCTTTTCTTTGTAGTACTAGGGATCCAACCCAGGATCACACATATGCTAGGCAAAGATTCTACCACTGAGCTATATGTATAACCCTTCTAAAATTTTTTGAGACATGGTCTGACTAAATTTCTTTAGGCTGGCCTTGAATTTGTGAATCTCCTGCCTCAGCATCCACCGTAGCTGGGTTTATAGACATGTGCCATCAAGCACAGTTTAAATCTTTTTAATTTCTCAGTTTTCTATAGTGAGTGAATTTTAAGTCAGAAAACAGAGGGAGCTGACATTCCTCAGGGATGTCAGGTACATCCTGAGTGGCTCCGCTGTACTTCACTCCTGACCAAAGACTGGGGAGGCTCCCTAGGGAGGTACTGGCTGCCATTTGCTCAGGCCTAGGCTCCCACCTGCTTCTGTCCAGTTTCTAAGGTGACCAATGGGGGACTTCTTCACTTCAGCATTGCACACATAACTGCAAGCCTGGGTGTTTGCTTTATGGTAGGTGTTTTTTTTTTTTTTTGGTTTAGTATCCTTGAGCTTTAGTGTTTGATGGGTTTGGATAGGTACTTTAGCTCCTGGTGAAGTTAGTTTCCCACTTGTATTATTTCTGAGATGCTGTCATCTTATTCAGCTGCATTAAAATTATACTTTAAGACTAAAATAATTCTTGTTTTTGGTGACATTCATTATTTGCTTTTTTTTTTTTTTTGAGGCAAGGTCTCCTGTGCAGTTCAGGTCTCACTGTGCAGTTCAGGCTGGCCTTGAATTCACTTATGTAGCCCAGTTTGGCCTCAAACTCACAGCCATCTTCCTGCTTCATCCTCTCAAGTGCTGAGATTAAAGATGTGCAATACCACACTGACCTTTGGTGGCATTTTAAAGAGATTTTTCTCTCAAGACTATATTGATGTGTTGGAATTACTGAGAGGCCTCTAGATGTGTTTTCTAAGAACTGATACTAGTTTTAAAAAAATGTATTTAGTACAGCATTTACAGGGTCTTATTACACAGATCAGACTCCTAGTGATCCTCCTATTTTCAGCCTCCCAAGCATTGGGATTACAGGTATGCACCACCATGCCCAGTCTCAAGCAGCATTGCAGCACACCCTGGGGGTAGGGACGGTAAGGCATGCAGGGGATCTAACCCGGTCCCTATGCCTGCCTAAGCAGGTGCTTTAGTCTGCTGAGTTATCTGGCCAGTTCCTGATACACTTATTGTATCCTGAGTTTCTAAATCAGCCTGTGTCCTTCCAGACACACCATTGTGCTGTATGTTTGATTCCATACATAGCTGATGTGAGCTGGTGCCAGTCTGCAGCCTTCTAGCAGACACTCTGAGTTTCCACAATGGGCAGCAGGGCACACAGAGCTCCTGTACACAATGGCTCAGATGTTCCTTACCCTGACAACGAAAGTTCTAAGAACCACACAAGAGAAACAGTAGTAGTTTTTGTTCTGTGCAGCAAGTGGACACAGCAGGCAAAGACCAAGCTTGTCCCTGTGGGCTGCTGTCTGATGAAACATTCCTTCTAGAGGCTCTATTCCTCATTGCTAATCTTTTGATTTCTGGTCTACGGTTCATTCAGTGATGGTAATTCTCAAAGAAAAGGAATTTGTTAGGCATACATTTGACTTTCAGGCTCCATAAATCTTCACACATGACTTCAAGCAAATCATTTAACCTGTAGCCTATTCTCATTTTTTTCCCCTGATGTGTCTCAATGGTATCCACTTACGAAAGTACAGACTGCCCTGACTCCTTTTATAAACAGCGTAGGACATGACTTTCCTCATGTTCATGTGAGGTACAAACACAACTATGAATATAGTATTCACCAGATGGATTAGTTTATTCTAAATCCTATAGCTTTTTTTTTTTTTGGCCAAACTGGGGATTGAACTCAGACCCTTGCGTTTGTCAGGCAAGTGCTTACTCTACTGAGCCACCTCCCTGGCCCTCTATAGCTCTTTTATTTTATTTTATTTTATTTTTAATGTGGGAGTTGCCAGTGGATTGCTTAACACCAAATGTAATGATGACATATTTCAATAGAGTTTTGGCTGTTCACATAACCTATTACATCACCTAATGAACAATATGGGTAGTTTCTATAACCCTTTCACATCCTTTTACAATCTTTTCAGAGTAAACACCTATAACCTTCTCAAAGACGCATTGCCCAATAGAAATGTGGGATTTTCGCATTCAACAACAGTACAGAAAGGACTGTACCATTCTGGCCCCTCTTGGTCCAATTCTATTTTTCTTTCTTTTTGGTTTTTTGAAACAAGGTCTTCCTACATGGTTTAGGCGGGTCTTGAACTCACTATTTGGCACAGGTTGGCTTCAAACTTTCAGCAATCCTCTTGCTTCAGCTTCCTGAGGACTGGGATTATAGTCATGTGCCATCATACCTAGCTCTTGGTCCAATTTTATTTTATTTAATGTTTAAAAAAATTTTTTTCCCCATAATTTTATTGAGAAACAAATAGCAATGAGACAGTTTCAAATCAAACTGGCAGGACAGTTTCAATAATTAACATACTGCATACTCTCTTCCTAGTGGTTATTTGTTGTACAAGATACAGACATGATATTCTATTTACAAACACTATTACAACAAATCCCTCTATTCATTAAGAGAATGTAACTATATATCTATCCTAACCATTTTGAATACACAGATACAAAATGTACATTCATCTGTGTGTCCTTTTTTGTTTAGTTCCATCATTTGAATATTATAGGTGTGTTAACTCAGCAAAATATTCTAAAAGAGTCCAGTAGTTCATAATAGTATTGGGTCTTCCGCTTCACTGGCAGTGTCAGAAATTGTTGACCTGAGTCCCCTATAGCTCAACATAACAACATGGCTTTACTTCTTATACTTCGTTTTTATACTTTTCTGCTGGATGGTTAAGACCAAGGTAAAGCAAGACCTATGCAACCAGAGTTATAGCTTTTGGATCTGATAAGGTCAGTCAAATCCCTTCAGGATTTATCCTAAGATCCTGTACCTCAGATTGTAGATCCTTTGTTAGTGTCAGCCATATGGATGAGTCACGGCCATTGCTTGGCCAACGTGCTCTCTGTGAAAGCCTGGGAGAATGTTTTTTTTTTTTTCTGTCTGGGAGAATGTTTTCTCTCCATGTGATTCTCCTTAGGCACACTCTACATCATCGATCACTTTCCTCTTTGGCCTCATAATCTCCTTGATCAGAAAATTTGGGACACTACTGAGTTACATGATGTTACAGTACAAGTTCTTTCTTATATGTCCTGAGTCTTAATTGACCTTGGAAGGCTAGGGCCAAAATGTTGGCTTTCCTTGTAGCCCTCCTTTTTCTCTAATTTTGGTCTGCAAACTTAGGTTGTTAACCTCCAGAAGAGAAGCTTATTGTTATTACCATACAACCTAGGCTGTTAAGCTTAACCTCACTATCTGTCTGAATATAAAACATCTTAGGCAAACATGGAATATGTATTTTTCACCAAGTATTGATACGTTGAACTTTAAGTCCTTACAGAATATGATGAAAAAATATTTTAAAAATTAAAATACATTTTAAAAATAGGCATAAAGAATTACATAATTCTTATGTTTACACATAAATCCAGAGATCTAACCATATACAACCTTGTAGCAGGACACGCCTGCAACATTTCTTGGTCTAATTTTAGTAAAAAATTATTGCCAAGTACTTTGAAAGTACAAATGATCACTATGTTTTAACTCACTCTACAGAAAAATCTCATTAACTTGCTATTGGCTAATTTAATTTAATGTCTCCTTCAAAGAATTTCCTGTTTACTAGATGATTATATAGGTCTGCTGTACGATAAGCAGAGTTAATGCACAGGGTAAAACTACTATAAAAATTTGAACTGAAAATTAGGTTCAAAGACTTTGAAAGTTGACTTTGTATGATTTAAGTCTTAAAGATCATCTACCTTATGGAAATATTGAGGTTGGACTAAAAATATATATACAAAATTCTCTGACCATCATCTTAAATGTATAGTAATGTGCTATTTTTTTCAAAGTAAACAAATAATTTTTTCCTTAAATTCTAGATTTAAAAATCTTAGCGTAATTATTTTAAAGTTATGTCACCAATGGATATTTTAAATAAAAGCTGACAATGTGACTAAATCTATTTCTGTGTGTATTAAATAGTTTTTTGAGATTTATAGCAGCTTCATTAGCATAATTTAAAAAACAATGTCATTACATAGGTACATGACAAATTATTTCACAATTAAATACAATTATTTAGCCTACTCCTATAGTAATTACAAAGCTTTTCTAAATCCATGCATATGTAACTGTTTTTTTTCCCATAATTTTGAGAGACAAATAGCAATGAAACAGTTTCAAATCAAATTGGTAAGACAGTTTCAATAATTAACACATTGTATATTCTCTTCCTAGTGGTTATTTGCTGTATAAGATACAGACATGACATCCTATTTACAAACACTATTACAACAAATCCCACTATTCATTAAGAGAATGTAACTATATATCTACCCTAACCATTTTGAATACACAGATACAAAATGTACAATCATCTATATCCCCTTTTTTGTTTAGTTCCATCATTTGAATATTATAGGTGTGTTGACTCAGCAAAATATTCTAAAAGAGTCCAGTAGTCCATAATAGTATTGGGTCTTCCGCTTCACTGGCAGTGTCAGAAATTGTTGACCTGAGTCCCCTACAGCTCAACACAACAACAAGGCTTTACTTCTTCTTTTTTTTTTTTTTTCTTTTCAAAGTTTTATTGATAAACATATAACACTGAGAAGGCTTTACTTCTTGTACTTCGTTTTTATACTTTTCTGCTGGATGGTTAAGACCAAGATAAAGCAAGACCTATGCAACAAGAGTTGTAGCTTTTGGATCTGATAAGGTCAGTCAAATACCCTCAGAAGATTTTTGAATCTAGCAGTTAATTGGAATGATTCTCACCCTGACTAACTATATACACAGACACCTGTGAACTAAGCAACTGCACTGAAGATTGCAATTTGTAATAGTAGGTTCATGCTTGGAGTGCCTGTCATTCTGGTCTTCTGAATATGGGCTGCTTGTCATGACATGCCAGATGTTGCTGTACTGTCTCTTGGGTAGATGATTGTTCAAAAAGAAGGGGGTGGTGAATGAAGGCAGGAGACAGGAAAAGGAATGTTGCAGGATTGTCCTGCTACAAGGTCGTATATGGTTAGATTTCTGGACTTATGTGTAAACATAAGAATTATATAATTCTTTATGCCTATTTTTAAAATATATTTTAATTTTTAAATGTTTTATCATCATATTCTGTAGGGACTTAAAGTTCAACATATCAATACTTGGTGAAAAATACCTGTTCCATGTTATGCCTAAGATGTTTGATATTCAGACAGATAGTGAGGTTAAAATTAACAGCTTAGGTTGTATGGTAATAACAATAAGCTTCTCTTCTGGAGGGTTAATAACCTAAGTTCGCAGACCAAAATTAGAGAAAAAGGAGGGCTACAAGGAAAGCCAACATTTTGGCCCTAGCCTTCCAAGGTCAATTAAGACTCAGGACTTATGAGAAAGAACTTGTACTGTAACGTCATGTAACTTGGTAGTGTCTCCTGATCTAGGAGATTATGGGGCCAAAGAGAAATGTAATTGCTTTCTAATTGAAGTATTTTTTCAAAACATCTTACCAATAGTAAAACAATTTTGATATCAGCTGAATATTTCAAATTAGCACATAGCTTTTTTTTTTTCCCCACTTAGTACAATCTACTATGATCACTTACCACATTTCTGTTTCTGTCAGCATTACTGAGATTTCCAGATACTCCACTGTAAGTGTTTCCAATAGGTTTCTCAGTAGGAAGTGGAGGTGGGCTTTGTGGATCCTCAAGTAAACCTTGCAAAAACAGCAGTAATTCATCAGTAATGTCTAGCCTTAGATTCTAAAGAATGAAATGATTGCAGCTTGGTTGCTTAGGAAGATATCATACCAGACCCAAACAAAGAATAGACAGTTAAGCAAATAAAAAAGAGCTCCCAACAAACTCCAAAAACTGATAGTCTGAATCAATTAATTTTATTACATGTTTGATATAGAGACTGAAAAAAAATACTAAATAATTACAACAGCAGTTAGCATTTGCTTGGAACTGTCTGTGTTCCAGGTATTAGCTCAAGCACTTTATCTGCATACATTTTTCTAGCCAATGAACAAGGTGCAATCAACAAATATGGCAATGGGGCTGGGGAGATGGCTCAGTGGAATAAGCGCTTCCCCGGCAAGCGCAAGGACCTGAGTTCAATCCCCGGTTCCACCAAAAAAAAAAAAAAAAAAAAAAAAAAAAAAAAAAAAGGCAACTAAGAGTTAAAAAAATTATTACAACAAAAAACACATTGCCATCAATCACCCTCAAAATATTCTCCCTCACTTTCAACACATTTATCTTATCTTTCTTGCTACTTTCTGAATCACTTTTGGACGTCCTCTTCTGTGAGTTTCTTTAGTTGCACTGTTGTGTCTGCCTTCAGTCCAGAATCAATTCAAAATGTTTACCACTCAAGAGGTTATTTCTACTTTGGGGAAAAGCCAGAATTTTCAAGGTACCTGTTATGATTTGTGTCTGGATGTTCCCCTTAAGTATTATGCAATCATCATAGATTTCCAGAAGTATCTAAATCTAGAGTCTGTGATTGATTCATAGTTCAATGATCGAGGGGTTAAGGGTATGAGTACTATACTTGCCCTAGGGTGAGTTGCCTGCATACAATATAAGCAACTTGCTCTTCCTCTCTGTTTTGTTGCTTTTGTCTTCTGCCCAATGCCATGAACTGCTGCCCCTCTGCCATGGGCCGCCCTGCCTTGAAGCTAGCCAATTATGGATTGAAACCTCTACAAACTGTGACATAAATAGACCTTTACTCCTTTAACCTTGGGTTCTGGGTATTTGTCTCAGCAACAAAAAACTAATATAAAATTTGGTATCAAAAGTGGGGTCATTGCTGTGACTATACCCCACCATGTAGTTCAAGAGCCTTTGGGAATGGTTTACGGGAAGAGTTTGGAATGATTTGGAGATGCTGGCTGAAAAACCAGAGCTGGAATGGCTTAGGCTGTTCTATATGGGAGAATCTGGTTTGAGCTCGGAAGAACAGAAATCTGGTAGAAATCTTGCTGGTAAAGACCAGGCTCAGGAGGTTTCTGCTGGAAAGGACTGCATTGGCTATTTGTCTTCAGACAATATACAATATATGTTATGGTTTGGCAGAAAGTTTGCCCAAATTTTGCTTATGTCCAGAATTTGTCTGACACTGAGATTAAGGCCAGTAGTTTAATTAATCTGGTAGAAGAAATTTTAAAGCTAATGTTCAGGCTGCAGTATGGCTGCTGTTGGGGACTTTTAGCCAGATGCATGTTGAGAATCAAGAGCAAAGAGCCCAGAAGAATGATTTAAAATGTTGTGAGTTTGGCCACAAAGGTAGCTAAGGATTGCAAAGACAGAGATGGGAAATCTTGATTGCTGAGAAGGGACAGGAAAATTAGAAAAGATGACAGCATCACTAGAAGCAGCAGGACTGTACCCTTTGCAGCCTCAAAAACTGTAAAGGTGAAAGATTTTCCTTTGAAAAGAAAGCCCCAGAGCACTATGTTCCACAATGGTGGAAGCTTAGAGAATTAGTTCTGCAGAACTGGATTCAGAGTACTCAGCGATCCAAGCACTTGACCCTTACAGCCAAGAGAGAAGAAAGCATGGCCACCACTCCAGCTGGCAGTACACCTTGGCATTAATCATGTGAAGCATTAATCATGGTTTTAGATGCATGCAGGATGCAAGAGTTGTGGAGTCAGGGCGGCTTCTACCTGGATCTTAAAAGAAGTCCTGGAAAGCCAGGCAGTGAGCCCCAAAAAAGGCAGTGTGTACAGTGTGTAAAGCTTTTGTTAGTATGCAGTCAAAGGTGCAATGGAAGCAATGATAGCTACAACTACAAGCAGTGCCACAGGGGCAGAGCCACCCTAATCCTTTGCAGTTCACAACTTGCCACAGATTACCTTGGATGCTGCACATAGAACTACAGGACTCAGTATTTCCCCTGCTGGATTTTGGATTTGCTTTGGCTCCATTCCTTTGTATCCCCCTTGGTAAGTTTTGGAATGAAAATGTCTACATTGTGCCATTGAATATTGGAAGTGTTTCTTTTCACTTGTTTGGGGGCTCACAGATAAGAGTTTGCCTTAAATCTCAGAGGAGACTTGGGATTTGGACTTTTTTGCAATTGTGAAACTGTTAGGATTTTGCCAACTCTTAGAGATGCACCAAATGCCTTTTAGGTAAAGGAATGTACATGAGTCTACGGGGCAGAATGTTACGGTTTGTATCTGGATGTCCCCCTTAGGTATCATGTAGTCACACAATGGGGGCTCTTCCTAAGCTGATCGAGAGTGTGATTGATTTCCTGGCCAATGCTGGGATTAAAGGCATGAGTCCTACACCTTCCCTAGGGTGGGCAGTCTATAAATATAAGGGACAGAAAGAGGCTTGTCTCTCTTCTCTTATTGCTTTTGCTGTCCTTTGCCTGATGCCATAAACTACTACCCCTCTGCCCTGTGCCACCCTATCTTCGAGCCAGACAATTATGGACTGAAACCTCTACAAACTAAGATAAATAAATCTTTACTCCTTTAACCTTGTTGTTGGACATTTTGTCTCAATGGGAAAAGTAATACAGTACCAGATTCAGTGACTAAGGTTAATGAGGATGTACCATTAGGTTATTTGAAAGAAAGTTCAGTACAAGTTGGATCAATGAGGGGTGATCAAAAATGATTAATGTTTAATTAAAAAAGTATTACAGGGAAAGACACATTATCATTAAGTCCCCTCAACATACTCCAAATAATTCTGGCTGTGAACATATACTTATCACATAGCTCCTAGCAACATGTCTCTTGTTACATAGTTTTCCTTACAATATAAACATTTACTCTGTTCTACAGTCACTCCTTGCATCTATGGGCTAGATTAGTCTATGTAGTTATTTAAATAATTTTAATTAAAATGAAATAAAATTTCAGTTCCTCAGTTATACTACCCAAAATTTTAAATAAGAACCACTTATTAGCTCAGACAAGGAATATCTCCATCATTGCAGAAAGTTCTGCTGGACATACATCCCACATATTTTAATAGATGAAAATAACTGAAGTTACAAGAAAAAGTTACCTAAAGTCTTAATGTTAGATTTTCTTTTAGTAAAGAAGCCAAACCCTGTCTCATTCTAATAAGATATCCTGTTTAATATGTAGCATACCTAACTCTTTATCATCTAATAATTAAATGTTTTTAAAATTCATTAGCTCTTGAATAATGAATATAACTTCAATTAAATGAACACCACCTTTACATCCAAGTCACATTATCTTAGTAATTGTGTACTCTCAATTTTTTGAAGGAAGAAAAAACAGATGACCATATTTAATAAGTAGCAGCTAACTGAAATCAGTGTGCAAAAATTGCTGAAGAGAGATGGCCATGCCGTACTGAAGGAGGCTAAAGCTAGCTTTTACAGTGTTTGGTTTACACACTGAAAGGAGATGGAAATTCTCTTTTTTGAAACCAATTAATACTTTTTACTTCCATTTTACCTGAAAAATCTGTAACAAGAGGATGATTCATCAGGTGCCTGTTTTATTGACAGACGGGAACACATTCTTAAAGAAAATACCCAGGTCAGTTGCCAAGAAAACAATGATTCAGAGTCAGGCAAGTACTGTTAGTGAGAGCCAGGGATGCTCAAGACACAAACAGAATACCCAAGTCAGCCACCATCTTGAAGACTTTCCCTGCTGCATCCTTAGGAAATAGTCACAGGATAAAAGACTGTTCTTTTTTTTTGTTTGTTTGTTTTTAATGTATTTGGTTGTTATAGGGCCTTACTATGCAGCTCAGATCCACAGTGATCCTCCTGCTTTCAGCCTCCCCAGTTCTGGGATTATAGGTGTGCGGCACTATTCCTGGACTCTGTGGCTGGCTCAGCCTGTGCTGGGGGCAGGCTAGTATGGCATGTGGTGCCAGGGATCAAACCATGGTCTCTGTGTTTGCCTAAGCTTGCCTAAGCAGGTGCTTTAGTCCACTAAGCTATCTCACCAGCCAAAATACTGTTCTAAGAAATAATGGAGAATACCATGTAGCTCTGTGAGAGTGAGGGAAAAAGTGCCTACATGGGGTGTGGAGAGTCTCCATGTGCGTGTAAAGAGCTGAAGATACAGACCACTTCCAATTTTGAATAGTATGCTCTGGGAAGGTATCACTGAGAAAGCGGCACTTGAGTAGGGCCATGAAGGAAAGGAGTGGTGACAGAGGAAGCCATACAAATATCCGGGGAAAGGATATCCAGTTAGAATAAACAGGTCCCACAGAGGAAGGAGCTGACCAGTTCAGGGAACATGAAGGAGTTTCGTACAACTAGGCTGTTACTTTCTTACCCTGTCTGTTCCATTTCAAGATCTTCAGATGCCAAAGTCTTTTTCTTTTTCTGCTGCACTATACAATACATGCACTACTTAATAAAAGTGATAAATGAATCAGGGGAACTAGTTTTTGTTGAAAGCATTTTTAGAGAGGGGTTTGAATTCGGAGCCTTCACCCTGAGTTATATATCCCTAACTCCCTTTTTATTTTTTGAGATGGGGCCTGGTTAAGCTGCTACAGTGCCCAAGCTAGGCTCCAGTTTGTGATCTTATTACTCTACCCTTCCAGGTGCTGGGATTAACATGTGTGTATCATGTATCACCATGTCTGGCCTAAAAAAGCAACTTTTTTAGGGGTGGTGGTGGTGGTGAATAGGGTCTCACTATGTAGTCCAGGCTGACCTTGAACTATGGAGTCCAGACTAACTTCAAATTTGCAGTGATTCTCCTGCCTCAGCCTCCCAAGTGCTGGGATTCTGGTGTGCACCAGCATATCCAGCTTTAGAAGCAACTCTTCAGAGACCATTCTGAGGTATTAGTTATCTTTCTTCTAGCAATATAAAATCCAACTTTCTGAAAGTTCCTGGAGCTTCATCAGGAGAAAAATAAAGGTAGTTCCTCAGCATATCCTCAGGATTTCAGAGCTACTAGTTCAAGTTCATACATGTGCAGAAAAAGTAAACACAGCCGGTCTCAAACTTTTCTTCTTAGAAAAGTCTGCTTGCAAGGCTGGGCCTTGGTTGCCAGCAATCTGGTAACTTGGGCCCTGGGACAGTTCCCATCATTCCCAGAACTGAGAATACGGCTGGTGCTGAATTCCTGCTTTTCTGCTGGGAACTCTGCATGCCAGGATTTCTAGGGGTACCTATGTAACCAGCCCCCCAAAGCAACCAAGTGCAGTGACTCTCTAATGAGCTTCCTTGGTTGACAACACATCACACCAACACAACAGCAGAAAAAACTTAAGTATAAAATTTGTATTTCTACTGGGTATTGTGGCATATGCTTCTAATATCAGCATTCTGGGAGGCTGTGGAGGATCTCAAATCAGAGCTCATCCTTGGCAACTCAGTGACGAGACTGACTCCAAGTAAGAAGGAAAGGGTGGTGGCTAGGATGTAGCTCATTGTGTAGGTCCTGAGCTCAACCCTCCGTGCTACGAAACAAAACAAAAGCTGCATTACTTGACATCTAAATGAGCTACTGGCAATACTTGCCATCATCACATTTCACTCTCCTGTAAAAATCCAGAATGCAAACAGCAAACAGGCAAACAACTGGATTAACTATCACTTTACTGATTCTTGGCTTTATAATACAGTCAGAAAAAAAATATACCACCCCTTATTTAATCTAACACTACAATTTAACTTCCTAAGAAGAAAGAGACCACCAGAATTTGATAGTTTTGACTTTTTTCTCTTTCTCATTCTTGATAGCAAATCAGTTCAGTCTTCTTGCTATTTGGCAGAGAGCCATGGTCAGTTAATAACAAAACCATCAAGAGACTTCAATGTTTCTCAATATGATCCTTTTTTGGATAGTTCTTCATAGAAAAAACAAACCCCTAAAATAAAGGTTATGTCTGCAACAGTCACAGGTCAAAGCCCTAGATACTTGCTTTGTTGTTAGGAGGATGGAGTGGCCAGATCTCTTGTTAGACAAAGGCAAGATATGCCTGAGCTATGCAAAATCATTTCAGGTAGAAATGAAATCAGAGGCCAGAGAAAAAAGCTGGTGACTGTTCCCAATGATGACAGGAACTACTCTGAAGTCCTCCATGTGTCATGTACATATAACATGATCTTAGCCATAGCATCTGGGGTCTGAAACAAATAGTTCCTGTCCCTTTGACTTATCCCTTATGATAATAACTAAATTCTTCTCTTTTTCTTTTGTGATGCTGAAATTGAACCCAGGACACCCTACCACTGAGCTACAATCCTGACCCTGTAGAGCAGATATTCTTTTGATGTGCTCACTAAAGTTCACAAATAATTTGATTTACTGTACCATTTA